GTGTTCGGTTTAATGTCTTTACTGTAACGCTTGTATGCAATTACATATTCATGATAACAAAACACCAGTAATGCATACTCTTATTAGGCATCCTAAATTACAAACGTTAATAGCAGAGTGGACAGTAAATTTTCTGCGTTTTCAATTTCGTAAATTAACAACTTTGATTCAATTCCAATCGCCATCAAGCCTACAATATACATAAACTCACAAAATTTCCATTTACAAAACAAAATGTACACAACACGACGCTTAACTGTGTAATCGAACGAAATAGGTTCGATACATCCATATTATGGACAACAAATCGTTGTATAAAAGGGCCTCCTTCCATTAGTGGTCACTAAATGGCGTACCGAAAATTAATAAAACCTTTACAGATACCTCATTAGTTTAATTAAACGGCGATCATTACCGTGGGGTAAAAGAATAAGGCTCTAATTTGGCCTGCGCCACACTATTGCCATCTCGGGCACGTCCCCACAAATTGATACAGGGTACGTGAGCCACTCAATTCGATGACGCTCATTTTGGGTTCCGTACACAGAATGACTAAGGAGAATTTAAGAGGGGAGTGATAAAGAACTATTTTGTAAACGACGTCTGTCCTCATGTCCCTTACTTATGTCGCTGGTGTGAATAATGAACTGCCTCATATGGTTCCCACGATGACAGAATAATTCTTGCATTAGTAGCCTATGTACTTAAAAAGACCTTGTTTTCTTCTAGTTTATTGATGAAATTACCAAAGCTGCTTGATGGTTTAAGCTACACCTACTGACGTTGATGTTACGAATGTTGCACTTCAGGTTTATTAATACTGTTCTACTATAATGACATAAAATGTCCAAGAGAGTTGGCAAATGACAACGCCGATAAAATTAGCATTACGAGTAATGTGCGTACCGCAGGGAAGTGCCGCGGAAGGGCTCGATGCGCGGATGGGGAGCGGCGCTCGTCGATCGTCAGACATCGTTAAAAGCCGCTTGTCCCGTCGTTTGTTGCGAGTTTTCACAAGTTCGCCAGTAAATGGGTGCCGACGCCGCCGCTTCACCAGCCTCGCAATTTACTTTTTCATCTCTCACGAAGGGCTCTTGTTGTTATTTGACATTAGGTACGCTTTCACGAAACAAGCTTTTAACCCTGACGCGTTTGAGGACGCTTAACGTCATTAAGTACACAACAAGCGAACTTCGAACACCCTCATCGGAATTTTTTACATTACATAAAATTGTTTCGGACATTTTGTCTCGTAAAGGGGTCAGGTACCGCTATTGTTGTAACTTTATTGATTTCAGCACAGCAGTGGCTCTCTACTCATATCATTTGAGAACGAGACACTCGCAGTGGACAATGATTATGTGACTAGACCTTTGGAAAAGGTCTTCAGGTCGGGAAACACCTTCTATTAGGAATAAGTGACCCAATCCACTTGAGTGGACGCAATTTTGCGGAACCTCTATCAAGTGTAGTTTGTACAGATTGCTTATGTGGGTCACGTATTATTCAATAAACCCAAAATTAATACTAAGTACGTGAGCTGCGTCGGTGAATGGCACTTTTCTGATATTTTGTTCTAATAAAGATACTGACCGCGCGCCGCCAACTATTAACTTGAGCAAAACTCGCTCCTGTCATTCGAATGGTGAATTTATGTGAGTGTAATTATTTCATTTCTGGCGAAGTCTTGCAATTTGGTGCGAAAGTTTCTCAGGCAGCGCGATATAATTATTTAACCGCTATAATTAATAAGGCGCTATAACTTGGGAACAGCCGGACGAATTGAGCGAGTCGTCATGGCGCTGCCGGCGGGTCTTGGTACGCGACGCACGTCCTTTATTAATTTTCAACGAAATAGAATCAAATTAGAGAAATTGTTTGCCGAGACTAAGTTTCAATTATGGTTGGACCCTGTCTTTAATTTAAAAGTTGCTTCTTTTATTTAATTTGTATGTTGATTTGGGATCTTCAAAGTATCTTGTGAGAGTGCCTCAGATTTCAAATGTAGAACTTACCTAACGTGATTTTTGACTGTTACATCTAGATGATGACAAGTCAAAAAATAGTCTGTCGTGCTGCCACGGAGGTTAAGAGTGTAAGTGAGGAAGCGTGGTGATTAATGCTCAAACCTTCTCCGTCTAAGAAGAAGTCTTTGCTCAGCAGTGTGCAATTATAGGCTGATGATGATGATGAGTGAACAAAGAGAAGAATTGATCTGATCTTCATGAGTTTTAAAATTGTACTTCAAAAGCAATTTCTGCAGTACGTTCCTACTTTCTTACGGCGTACGGAGAGTACCTACACATTTCGATCACACGCGTGCAACTCTAGACAAAGGAGAAAGCCATACATCCATACCTACTTTGCAACTCGCGAAGAAACCATACAGATTGTTCTCTCAAACTTACTAACAAGATGATCCCTACTCCAATTTATTGTGAAACCAAAAAAGTGTGGTTATAAGTGGATGGGGAAGGAAATCGATGCTGACAGCCTCTGGGAAACATCTTGAGAGATAGAATTACGGGAATCTGGAGGACCGGGGGCCACTCACGATATTACACCATTCTTACCAATTGTATCGGTCTTTGATCTGGACAGTCTTGTTAGGTGAATGAAGGCTTAGCAAAAAGTTTTAATACTCGTAAGACAGGCGAAGCATTTTTACAGTTTTCGAAATAATCTCAGTACCCAGTTATTATCAAGGAGTCTAGAATGGTAACAGGTACTTACCTATTTATTTATAAAGTATACTCTTATCTACTTAATCGCCATTTTAAGTAATAGCCACTTTTAAGTAATTAACTGACGAAAAATTTGCTTTAATGTTACGGTGTGATTGCATCTCTTTCCAGCCCTTTGAGGAAAAAGAGATAGAAAAAATACAAAATACATATGTTATTAGTATTTCTTCTTAGGTCGGTTTCTGTGAGCTATTGCTACAGATACCGCAATTTTTGAACGTAGCTGTTGTTTTTACCACGAAATTCTCGTATTTCGGTCTACGAATTGAAAATAAATAATTGAAGGTATACCATACGCCAGGTCATGGAATCAGCGAATAGCGAAATAGAACTATTAAGTTTCATGCAGACATATTTTGTTTTCTTTTCTGATAAAAATAAATTTGTAGAAGAAACATTTAAACATTTAAGTAAATAAAAAATTCTGTTGATAATCTCGAATATCTATCGATAACAAAGAGTATATAACCATTATTCCTCTACGATCGATAATCACCTTTTGAAGAAAAGCTGAAGTAAAGCGGTAACAATTACCACCATTTAATACATAAAAATCAAACAAAATCATTATTAAAATGTCATCACGGGAAAATAGACCAATGTTTAACCTTCTTTGAATCTATGAAAAGTACAACCAGACAGTCACGAACGAAAATTTTCAATTCGCTCGAAATCAAATAGTGTTAGCATTTATTCCGCTTTAGTGTAAAAGTGCTCAACGAGCTCTCTAAACTTTATAACATTGTCTTACAGACTGAATGCATAAACGAACAGTTCTGAATGCCCTGTGCTAAACATAATTTTCTTTTATAGTACAAGTTCGTGCATAACTATGTACACGATATACTAACGCCTGCATCGCATCGTTTCGGGGATCGTACTTGTAAATACATTGTTATGACTTGTAGAGTAGATTGTTCTGCTTCCACTATTTCTATGAGATTTGTGTGATAGCTATCTGTCTGCTGTTATATTTTGCCTAAACTTAGTTTAAAGATACCTTAGACAGTACAGAGATTACATCGTTGGAAGATTGAGAATGAAATGATGTTATGTAAGAATTTCCTTGAATTATTTTGTTCCTACTATCGCACTGTATATCCACGACTAAAAGATTACTTAATAAAATATTTATATTATCAATTTATACTATACTAGCTACTCTCGCGCGGTTTCACCAGCTGCCCGGCTCCATTTAATCGTAGCGTGAAGTTTTATAGCCTATAGTACTCAGGAATATTCTAGTTATCTAGAATAAGAATTTTGGAAATCCGACCAGCGGATCCAAAGATTACCCCCTACATACAAACTTACATACTTACAAATTTTACCTCTTTATAATATTAGTATAGATATCTACTGCACAGCTCTCGCGGTACTTTAAATGTGGGAGAGTCATGCTTCGACCAGAGTGATAGAGGTCTAACAGGGAACCGACGTGTGGCAACCACAGCGTTGTGTTTTACCGTGTGAGTGAGGTCGACAACGCACTCGTAACTCTTCCGTTTTTGCGGGTGTCCATGGACGGCATTGATTGCTTATCATCACGTTATACGTCGGCTCATTTGCCATCCTATCACAAACAAAAGCGAAAAAGCTCCAGAGGATCTGCTCTTTGTGCACTCTTCAATATTTGTTCTGGGTCTGGGCGTATGTAAAACTGTGTGGAAACACAACCACGACGGGAGATAATCACTGTGTGGAGCAATGTTAAAAAAAATCATTTGTGTTAGACACTAAAAAGTTTAGTCAAATATTTAAAACCTTATATCCTAGAAATCTGGTTAAGTACTCCGCCTATTTTTAAACTAACAGCTCGCCACCCGCATTGCACGGGTTAACTCTCTCGCTATCAAAGGATCACTTTTTTTCTAATCTTCCCCTCTACTTTTCTAATATTTTCTTTGACACTAACAAAAAAGAATCACCAAATTTGGTCCAGGCGTTGTTGAGTTATGCGCTTACCAACACATTTTGCGAACCGTTTTTATATAAATGATTACGAATAACTACAAATAAATTCTAGATCTACAATATGCAAATTAGAATATAAAGAAAATTCGACAGTCAAAAGTTATTTTCATAATTTATTTTGATCCAACATATTTTGCAATTTAATTTTCATACATTTGAAATAATACAATCACAAATAATGTTCTAAGTACACTGATAGCAAGCAAATAGTGACTAGTACAATATATATTGTTTCCCTAATGAAGTGCATATAGTAACATATATTATATATAGGTATTTGTTCTACTCTACAGGCTCCATATTGTTGTCTACGCGAGGACTCTCGGTACTGAAACAAAATAAAAACATATTACGTAAATAATTAAAAGGCATGAATTTATTTAATTTAGTCACGGTCCCAAATATCTATTTGTTTTCCAAAAATGATCGATTCACTAAGAACTACAATTGAGTTCAATGCCGTAAAACAATACAGTCGTTATCATTTATTACACCTATTTAAATGAATTTGCAAAGATGATGTACTAAAAAAAATGAAAGTAATCTACAATCTTTAAAAAAACTAGCTATAATCTATGCACAGGTAGACCGCTCGGTTCAAAAAAGGAACGGAAAATCCGTTCACAACGCGTTGCTCCTAGTTCAATTCACGGCAGCATAGTGGCACTTTTAGAAGCCACAAAGCAGACTCACAAAAGCTCAACCAACACAGAAATTGAGTAAAAAAGTCTGTATTACCTATCACCACCATCCCCTTTTGCCGTACGGACAATAGTGTCCCTCTTCCCTGCAACGTACACGATAACATGAATTGACTGAAACTCCTGAATTATAAATAACTTTAGAAAAATCTTTGCAACGTGAGCGAGTTTGAAAATTTTCCTTTTAGCAGGTTCTTTGGCTCTATTCTTTACTTCCTTTACCCCGACACTAAGTGTGGCAACACAAAAGGCTGAATGTTTGAATACGGTGCTCTTAAAAAGTTTTTAAATAAACTCCCCCATAACCTCTTAAATGTTTGGAGTTTTAATAGTTAAGTATTTTTTTGAAACTCATAAAATACTAAGTGTTAAGTAATATTGTCGTAAAATAGACTTAGGTACAATCTCGTCACTCTTGAACAAAAACTGTTAGAAATGGAACGCAATCAAATAAGTAGTTCGCATTTTTGCCGCTGTGTGGCGTTCTCAATTCTTTTGTTTTTTTTTCACTTTTTGACACACGTTTGTAACGCTTACGTCTTATGAAATAAATTACACAATATTTAAAGTTAATACTTGCTTTATTCAATAATTCCTACATGGTAGCAGAGCGTGGTTGATTAGCAAGTATCAGTACAAAATATTCGTGCAGAATTTATCAGTGTTTAGTGGTGTACGTGTACCGGAATAAAAAGTGAGATTATACACACGCGTCCCAGTGACCGGCGAGTTAGGAAAAACTCTTAAAAAATGAGTTCATCGCATCACATGTTCAATCTTGATAAGTTGATCGGGCGTGAAAACTTCGCAACATGGAAATTCAGTGTGAAAACTTATCTCGAACTACTTATTTGATTACAAGACCTCGTAACAGAACTCAAAGGAATATCATAGATGGAGATGAAAACAGTATGTATTGTTTACTTTCAAGTTTTTGTGATCCGCAGACAGTTGAGGAGGCACTTTCATCACCTTACGCCAAACAGTGGAAACTAGCAATGGACGAGGAGTATAACTCACTGATGAAAAATAATACCTGGAATCTAAAGGACTTGCCTTCGGGTAGAAAGGTTTTGCCATGCAAGTGGGTCTATAAAACTAAAACTGACCAAAGTGGTAATATAATACGATTTAAAGCCAGGCTTGTGATTAAAGGGTATGCCCAGAGAAAGGGCACTGACTACGAGGAAGTGTTCTCACCTGTTGTAAAGTACACTACCATAAGGTACTTGATATCACTAGCTGCAAGATTGGGGCTTGAGATTGACCAACTGGATGCAGTGTCAGCATTTTTACAAGGTGACATTGATGTTGACATTTACATGAAGCAACCAGAGCTGTATGAACAAGGCCCTCAAGTGTGTCACTTGAATAAATCCATATATGGATTAAAACAGGCTAGCAGGTTGTGGAATTCAAAATTAAACCTTGTGCTGCTGGAGATGGGACTGAAACGTTCAAAGTCTGACCCATGTGTCTATTTCAATCCAGATAAGAATACCTACATTGCTGTGTGGGTAGATGACCTCATTTTATTTACTTCAAATAAGGTGGAAAGAGACAAGATTAAACACAGGCTTATGCAGCACCTCGAGATGAAGGACCTGGGTAAGGCTAGTCAGTGTGTAGGTCTGAACTTAACCAGGGATGGAGACACTATTATGATTGACCAAGAAAAATATATTAAAAGTGTACTTACTAAGTTTGGTATGTCTGACTGCAAATCATGCAAAACACCTATAGAAGTGGGCCTGAAGTTTACTCAGAGAGCTGATGACAAGGAAGTAGACTACCCTTATCAACAGGCTATAGGCTGTCTTCTCTACATTGCTCAAGGTACAAGGCCTGACATTTCCTTTGCCGTCAATACTCTCAGTAGGTTCAATAAAGAACCAAGAGCAGAACACTGGACAGCAGTCAAAAGAGTACTACGATATTTACAGGGAACTAAAGATCTGAAGCTCACCTATACCAAAGATGATCAACCAAATCTTAGAGGCTTCTGTGATGCAGACTGGGCCAGCGATAATATCGACCGAAAGTCCTGCACGGGCTATGTTTTTATTTCTCAGGGAGGCGCGGTGTCCTGGTGCTCCAGGAGACAACAAACGGTGGCTTTGTCAACCGCCGAGGCGGAGTACATGGCCATGTCATCAGCAGCGCAGGAGGCCCTGTGGCTGCGACAGCTGCAGATCGAGATCGGCCAGCCTTCAAATTAGTTATTTAGTGACAATCAAAGTGCTATAAAATTGTCTGCCAATGATTGTTATTTACCCCGTTCAAAACATATTGATATAAGATATCATTTTTTGAGAGAGCATGTAAATAATTTAGAGATAAAATTTAATTATTGTAGAGGCGATAATATGATTGCAGATATACTAACTAAGGGTACCACTGAGCATAAAAACTTATATTGTATAGCAAAAATGGGTTTGCGTTCAGGGGTGGATGTTAGAAATGGAACGCAATCAAATAAGTAGTTCGCATTTTTGCCGCTGTGTGGCGTTCTCAATTCTTTTGTTTTTTTTTCACTTTTTGACACACGTTTGTAACGCTTACGTCTTATGAAATAAATTACACAATATTTAAAGTTAATACTTGCTTTATTCAATAATTCCTACAAAAACAGATTACATATTCCTAATTAGGTAGTTTCTTAGGTAAAAATAAAATATTTCGACGTTTCAGTACATAAGTAAATAAGTAAACTTTTTGACGCACAAAAACTATGACCTCTCAATTTAGCGTTTCATACAAATTTCATAGACTTCGACTAGTTTGAAACTACCGTATTATGTACACACACACTGTGCCTTAAATATGTTTCCATAAACCAGGTTTCTATTTAGATCAATAGACAAATATAATCACTATTGGTCACAATGGGTCACTATATTGGGACACTATTGGTGTGGTTTATCTGTATTCCAAAATTTACAAACTTCATCGATATTCAGCTATTGGCAGGATTGGGTAACAACTAGCGAAGTGTCAGCAGGGGTTAAGAACAACGTGACTTTAATGGCTTTAGAATTGAACTTTTACTGGATATTTACAGTTCTATTTCTAATACATAAAGAATTACGGTTTAAATTTCTTCGTTCAATATTCTTGTTATACAGTCTACTAAGGTCGGGTACTAACGCTGAACTGATTTTAGATTGCAATACAAAGCTAGGTGCAGAGGTCATGATGGTTAGCGATGACGATGTGGTCACCAAGTGTGGGAGAGTCAATCTTTGGCACAAATGGGTTGGCTCGACCGGAGTGATACCACGGCCTTACAGGAAACTGGCGTGAAACAACTACAGCGCTGTGTTTCATCGTGTAAGTGGGGTTACCAGAGTCTCAATCCTTCCCTTTTTCCCATCCCTCACCAATCCCTAAATGGCCCAAACCCTTATTCCCAAAAGTCCGGCAACGCACTTGTCACTTCCCTGGTGTTGCAGGTGTCTATGGTCGGCGCCGATTGCTTACCATCAGGTAATTCGTCAGCTGGTTTGCCGACCACACACAACATGAATGTTAGGCTGCTTCGTTTAGTACTCTGTCCATCTATTTTAAGTCAAGTTTATAAAATACCAGTGTTTTTTTCTAAATTACGTAATTATTTCTAGAGATATCGGTATTCCGCAGACAAGTGTAGCTAGTTCAGTAGCTTACTAGTGACTTGTTGAACGCGATAACAATGCAGTGGCGTGTTCCGCTCTGAACTTACTCCGTCAGACCGTTCCGAACGACGTTACAATGTTAGCGCACACAAATGTTTACCGAATTGTGTTTAGAACTAGCACAGTCACTGACAATGAAGGCAAATGCCCTCGCACTGAAGACCAAATTCTGTATGCCAGTTTTGTGTCATACGTGGATACGTGTAGAATCATTGATTCATCAAATCAGAAATTAATATAAGTCGGTTTGACAAGATGCAAGAATTTCTAAACTAAATTATAATGACCCTTTGAAGGTAATTAAATAAAAATTAAATATATAAAATTCGATCCTTGTGGTTGATGACTAAACGAGACTAAACGAGGGATGAATTTTGCGATCTTGAAGGGTAATAAAATATTGCAAAAATCAAAGATGATCAATGTTACTTGTGAATACAAAAGCTAATATGATAATAACAGAATTTCTAATCATGTTTTTTTTTATTAAATGGAAACAAATACGAAGGTTGAAGATTCAAAATGTACTTACGCATAGTAGGGATGTTTCCCTTGCATGATTAGAGAGATGGCAGTCTTAGAGCCACGCTTGCCCAAAGAATCGCCAGACCAGAGCTCCTTACTTAACATGTGATCTGAAAAAAAGATGTGGAAATTAATTGATTATTAAAAGAAAAATCTAAATATACAATTGATAAAGATGCAAGTAGGAAAACTCTTCGTGAAAATATAAATGAGTAAAAAAAAGTTGCAATAAATATAAAAGACTTATTAGACACATTAGACTATAATGTGTTTAAATCCTATTCAAATATCATGCAGCAAAAGTGTGGGAGAGCCATGCTTCGGCACGAATGGGTCGGCTCGACTAGAGTAATACCACGGCCTCACAGAAAACCGACGTGAAACAACCACAGCGTTATGTTTCGCCGTGTTAGTGAGGTTACCGGAGGCCCAATCCTTCCCCTTCGCCGATCCCTCCCCAATCACTAAATCTCCAAAACTCTAATCCCTAAAAGGTCGGCAACGCACTCATAACTTTTCCGTTGGCCAGTCCATGGGCGGCGCTGATTGCTTACCATCAGGTAATCCGTTCGTTTGCCGACCATTACATAAAAAAAGCAGTCATTAAAACATATTTTTTTGAATACCCCAACTAATTGTAATACAAAAACAATAATACATTCCCACCACACACATTAATGAATACTACCAAGCCAAAGAGTCCGTGCAAACACTACGAATTGTCTCTTTAACATTTTAAACGGTGCAAAAGCAACACCTACGAATGCAAACCACATTTCCCACGAAGGTGGAAAATAAAATAACGAAGGTGGAATAGAAACAGTTATATGAAACAGAATAAAACTCTAACGACCTTAAGCCAACACTTATAAATGGAGCAAATAAATGCTGACTCTAACACCAACGCTTTTCTAACATTTCAAATAAAACGGTTTTGTAACGTTCAAAACCGTTACGTACGCTGTGATTATTGCACAATATTTTTCAAGCACATGTTAAGGAAAATAATGGCGTAGCGTTTTATTTTTATTTCCAAGAAAAGCGTTTAAGCCGCATTAAATTTCAAGCATGGTTTTCCAAAGATTGTACTTATACTTAAAAACATATTTCTAGCTACGAAAACTACTTAAATCTCACATTTAGGTGAAAACTTCCAATATTAAATTCATTGTTACGTGTCTGTATAAGAATATTTAATTTGGGTATCATTAGTTGATATCATCTTGTTATTTTAGCTGTCACCCCTACAATGATCAGTCTGCATCACAACAACAACAAGATACAGTTTTAATACACAAATACTTGTGTGTACATGAGTATTTGTGGAGCTACATTATATGATCAATGCTTCAGGAGAAATGAGACAACCCGGCAATATCAATCTATTAAAAAATCTCAGGTCATATCGGTTTTGAAACTCCGCAACGCAGTCACTAACGATTCTATCCACTTGACAAATTTTCGGGTTTCTGGCTACCCGCAAAGGCTGGCTGTTCGCATAACAACCGGGGCTGAATTGTGAGTCAAATATTGGTTTTTCCAATCATTCTGGACGCACCTTTAGGAATGAAATCAAATGCAAGCACTCTCGACTTTGATTCAATTCAAATTCTGTTCTTGAAATTGTGACATAGCTGGCATAAATCAAAAAGAGAGCTGGTTGCTTTGCAGTTTACGTTCAGTTTTATACTGCATCATTGGCGCTGTAGTAGCAAATGGCGTACCTCCAGCGACGTGCATCGAGTTTGATTGTAACGTGAAAGAGATAGCTACATTTTATTGTGAGTTCTACAAGCTTTTGTCTTGTTGCTGAACTGATTTGCGTCGTACGAAATTTGAATTTTATTCGTGTACGTTCACGACACTTTCCGTCATACATTTTTGTACATGAGAAATTGTCATACCTTTTTACGTGCATAACTTAGTGTATCTAGAATATAATTAAGTTTTCAATGAGTATTTAATCACATTTCGAATACTTTTTAACACACAGTACGAGTACAGACTCACTAGTTCGAAATCAGTAGGATCAGTTTTCCATTATCAGTAATAGGATAATTTCCTTATATATTAATTGATAAATTTCTGCTACAATCCTGAATAGTACCTACTTTACTACAAAATCCAAAATATCAACTAAAACCTTTTTATAATTCTAATGCACATAGTAATTCCATTTTCAATTTAATTCTTAACAACGAAGCGAAATGACCTTGTAGCAGACATTTATTTTGTTCTCATTATTTTATTGTAATATTGTAACGAGACAAGACATTATTATTTCATCTAAAAAAGATTCGAACTCGATCTAGCTATCAGTTGCGGCTTCACCAATAAAGGGTTCTTAATATGCCAACAAAATAATAAGGTTTTTCTCTTAAAGTACTTATTATATGTTTGAGCCATTTGGGAGTTGAGATTTTGGAGCAGCGGGGGTTTTAAGAAATTTCAAAACGCCTGATCGACGTATCTGGTGTCCAGGGGGCTTTTTTGAGGTGGGAAAATCATCAAATGTCTTCTCTCGCCCAAGGTGAAGCGAGAGGGAGTGTCAGACTCTTACTGACGTAAAGCCGCTCCGTTCTATCTCCTGCGTTCCTTCGTAATGTACCGCAGCCCCAGCCTTGAGCAAGAGATGGATCGGGATGTTTTTTTTTCAATAAGAATCTGATTAAGCCTTCGTATCCAAGCCTTATCTGTGAAAATACGAATTCTCAAGTTCTTCGGGCATATCACCCGTAACGAGGACTCAATGGAGCGACTGGTAGTGCAAGGAAAAGTTGAGGGCAAAAGATCTCGTGGACGCTCGCCATCATGGTGGACAGACCTCATCAAATCGGTGACGCATTGCAGCGTCAACGAAAACTCCCAAGCTGCCAAACATAGAAGTTCATGGCGTCGCATCGTGAAAAAGGCGGTGGCGCAAGACTCTACCGACACATGACCACGACCACTCTGTCAAGAGTGCACGACTAAGAAGAAGAAGAAGCCTTCATCATTTGTCCCTCTTAAAAAAGGCATATTCAATTTACGCAGAAATTTTGAAATTGTCCTCGATTTTATTCAAAGGCTGATTAGTCCATCTATCTATTCATTTATTTTAGTCTTAAGATTCTCTTTTATTCTTTTTGGTAAGCGGTGTTTACCTTTAAGTAATGTTTGCATTGCACCTTATATATTACCGAATTGTAATTACTGTTGTTGCATGCTTTGATGTACAACATTGTTGGTAGACGTAATAAATAAATAAAAATAAAATAAAATAATAGTCCATATCTATTAATGAAAAATAAACTCACTCTTGAATGCGTTTCCAGTTCTCTTCCTGTATTCTTGCTCGACGGCTGGAAGGAGACCAGGGTACAACGATAGGGGAGTCCGGTAGAAGTCTGGAAAAGTAATTACACCTTTTTGCTGAGCCTACTAGTACTTAATTACCTGTTATTAGGTTTGGGTACTGACTAGGTTTGGGCCGTGTATTTGAAATAAAAAGGACAGACATACAAACAATCGTAGGTATCTTTCGGTAGGTTTCTGTTTTTTTTTATATTTCAAACTAGCTTTTGCCCTCGACTTTGTTAGCGTGGAATATTGACTTACTGCATATTTTTGGTTTAAAAACTATCCTATGTCCTTTCTCGAGTTCTAAACTATGTCTGTACTAAATATCACACAAATAGGTTCAATAGTTTAGGCGTGAAGAAAAGACAGACAGGGTTACTTTCACATTTATAATAAGTATTAGTTTAGTTAAGTTACATCTCAAACTGGTAATCATATAGCCAATATACTTTTTTGGTTTTAATAGGACGGCGAATGAGCTAAAGGATCACCCGATGCTGAGCAATCAGTGGCGTCCGTGAAATTTCGCAACACCAGAATAGATTTATACGTCTTGTCGGCCTTTTGGGGGGTAGGTATTTGGAGATTGGGGGATTGAGAATTAGTAATAAAGGGAGGAGAATAGAGCCTCTCATAATATCACTCAAATATCAAAATCCAAAGCGAGAATTAAAATTCTAATATTCCTATTCCAAATTGATACAATTGATATCTACATAACAAAATAAATCTAAGATTTAAGTACCTACTGTCTAAGATTACAGGACAGGCTATTTTCTCGCTCCCCGCTAGACACGGGCAACTATTCCATGAGGAATACAATAAATGGAAGTTAGATGAAGCTTTCTTTTAAGAAAGACAGATGACATACTTTCTAGTCCTCGAACGCAAGTGACTAAGTCAAGAACTATTATTTTGAGACACAAAATAAATCAATATTTCTTAAAAAAAAAATCAGATGTTCTTTAATTATATAGTAATTTTGAGCATTCCATAAAAGATGGCGTTAAAAGTAAACTTTGTGACAAATCTAGGTCATCATTATCATCAGCCTATAAGTGCCTACTACTGAGCAAATGACTCTTCTCATGTTGATAAATAAAGTTTAATCACCATGCTTGCTCAAGGCGCATTGGATGTTTCAAACTTATCATCAAACATTATAAGTCTCCTCACTAAGTACGGAACTCACAGAAGACCGGCGTGAAACAATCACAGCGTTGTGTTTCGCCGTGTGAGTGCGGTTACCGGAGGCCCAATCCTTCCCCGCCCCCAATCCCTAAATCTCCAAATCCCTAATCCCTAAAAGGTCGGCAACGCACTCGTAAATCCTCCGTTGCGGGTGTCCATGGGCGACGCTGATTGCTTACCATCAGGTAATCCGTCTGCGTAGGTAAATAGAGTTTAATATTTTATAAGTACATGCAACTCAACTTTTGAGTATTCATAGAATGGTTTATGCAATAAGTAATCAAAAGCAAAAATTATTGACATAAGTAGGGCCTTTTAACTCTATGTAAGTACAATGTAAATGATTAAAGTGCGTATCTAAAAACTTACAAAATATCGATTTCTTAGTTCTTAAATATATACGCTCTTTAATCTTGTAAATTACGAGGGACCGAAAGTCAACGACCGGTTAACTATTAAAAAAAATAAACAACAAGAAATATTTACATTAGATACAGTAGGGCCTTCAAGACATTTTTCGTTTTCCAAAAAGAAAATTGTTCCTTTTGTTATTTATGGAAGCGTTTAAAAAACGAATAATGTTCCTTTTATATCTTTTGTGAGCTCCGAAAAAATGTTTTTCATTGGAGAAATTTGAATGACAGCCTTAATACGTCGCATGGGGTCTAACACTGAATAATTATGTAAACATACGTCTTTATGAACACACAATAAGTATTTTGATTGAATACATTCTGGCTGTGATGTTGTTACTGTTTTTTTTTATATTCTGTTTTTACAGACAGTTTTGAATGTGTTTATCTACGACTATGGTTAGTTTAGGAACAATTAACATTAATTAAATGCTAACCTACACTCATAGGATAGCTAAAATAATTAAATATGTAGGTACATATATACACTCTATAATTTCTCTAGATAAAGCACCAATCATTATCATAGCTCAACCACTTATAGTCTATTCATCATTATACTCTACCGTGATCTTCTTGGAAGGTAGATTGAGTCTCCGAAATTTAGAAATGTAGGTTTATCAGAAAGGCTACAAACGTGTATTCAGCAGGTTATTATTACATTGATAAATTGTATAATGTAAGTATATCTACTAAATAGGAACTTACATAGCATACGCTCCCCCGATGCAGGTCCCTCAGACATGACGTCATCAGTTCGTGCACGCAAGTAATCTGTCAGAAAAAGGAAAATATTGTTAGTTACATCATTCAAATTTAAAATAAAACTACAAACATCAAATACGATTAGATACAACCGACATCACCATTTAAATAATACCTACAAAACACATTAAAAGTAAAAAATATAAGTAAGTAAATGTTCGCAAAAAAAACCTTTTTACGATTACAACGAAATGACGATATTAAAAATCCATAATTATTCTTTTATCAAATTCCATTTTACATCACCGAGTTGAAAGGCAGTCTTTGAAATCATAATAAACCGTCCATCTTTTATTTTCGAAGTCGAACGACGAAATCAGAGAACGGGACAACCGGCCTGCGAGCAGGATATCCTTCGTCGAAATAATTAAATCGGTAAATGGTAAAAACAATTGAATTTTATTTATCGCAATTTCTCTCTTTTTCCAAAATAAAAGATGAAAATTTCTGATAAAATTTCAAATTTTCGACGAAACAATTTTAATGTAAATAGCCGGAGAGTATGAACAAAATATTGACGAAGGCAGACAAAGAGAAAGATGTATTCCGAAATATCATTTCCTCAAAGTCCAAATCAAAATCATTTTATTTCAGTTAGACCCTTACAGGCAGCTTTGAATGTCAAATAAAGCTTAAAGATAAAAAAAATTAGTTTGTTGATCATCTACCAATTCAAACATGACAAATCAAAAAAGAACCTATGACATTGACACGCTGACCACATAACAATAACTCTTAATTTAATACAAGCAAAAGAAGCGAAAAGCGAAAAATAACAAAAGATCGAAACAAATGATCAAAGACGCACCTTTATAGAAATTGAAGCCATCCTTGCCGATATCCGAACATTTCGTGCAGGGAGCAATGGCGAGCAACGCGAGAATTGATATAAATGTTTCCCGCATTTTTGTGGCCGTTTATTAAGACTAATGAGCTACCAGGACATAGGATCGCGGACGGTGAGGATTTATAGCAGGTAGGAATGCCACTGCCGGACTCAACCCCTGTTCTCCTTTTTATAATTTCTATCCGATATGGATGGTACAGTTGTGTAGGTTGATGCACGAACGAGGTTCGAATCTGCGTTGGGTACTGATGTTTTAGTTTGTATCTTGAAAGAAATGGGTTACAACTTAATCTAAAGAATCTAGTAGTACTTAACTATTGTATTTGTAATTTTAAAACAAAAAAAATAGTATATATCGTTTAGTTCTACTGACAGACTGACTAGACTGAAAGAGAGAAAAGACTTCAACATTACATATGTTATTTATTTTCACACTTTTAAACTTGTGTACTTACTTGAGTAACTGGTTATAATAAACGTATATTATGTGACCGAAAATATAGCCATAATCCCATAATTCAAATCACATTCATATAAAAAGAAAAATATACGAGAGTGAAGCTACCCTGAAAAAGGTCGGGTTTGTATGAAACTGGCAATGAAGTGTCGTAAAAGGGCCAGTCGCAGGCACATCATGCAACCGAGATATTGCTGCCCATTGTCCCGGATTCCCGGGACTTTTCTGTACTGATACTGATTTATGTCCCGGATTAAGCTCACTCAGCGGATGATACAGGTGTTTTGTCACAATAATCTTTTGGAATTTCTGTTTACCTTTAACCTTCAAGAAAGGGATCGGGACGATCTTTTTGCGACTGATTCGTGTTTTTTTGCGTGTTGTTTTGTCTTTTGATTTTGCAGCAACTATAACCCTATACGTATGGTAGAATCTGAAACCATAATATGAGTTCCAATCTCTTTTTTCAACACCAAAGCGAATTACCCGCGTAAATTAACTCAGAAAAGCTATACTAACTATTTTCGAGTCACAACGGGACTCGCGTACGCGTAGTGTGATTTCAAACTAGTTGAGCTTTTCTCAGTAAAATCACGTAGTTATGACATTTTATTCGATAAATTAAATACCTATGTCTCACGATATTTACTAATGAAAAATACTGATAGATTCAAAAATACTCCCCGAAATAGATATGATAATCAAAATAATAAATCCCTAAAATATTCAAGTCCCGGCGCGGGATCACTATGGCTAACAGCACTACTTCTGAACGACGGGGCGCCCGCTCCAACGGCCACAACCTTATGCAAATGACGTCCCGGACAGACCCGAGATATTTTCCTATATAAAGGTGATTGTTGCGATTCTAATGGCTTCCTCTGCAACTGATGTATATCAAGGCTTTATTTACGTAAAAGGTTATGGATATAAATAAATGGTTTGTTCCTTCTATGAATGTCAATTTATGTGGGACTTTTATTAGGGTGCTTTTTTTAGTTTTATTGTAGGGATCCTTTGTGTTTTGATGGAACTAAGCCAAGAGGTATATGAAGGCCTTTTTTTAAACCTCTCTTTGTAATATAGCCCTTACATTTTGTATTTTTTTGATGGGACTAGCCCGCCACAATCTTCCAAAACTGCTGAATGTCCTGTAAGCCAGGATCTACATTAAAATTGTGTGGGTATCAATAGACGGGTGCAGAACTAGTTTCCAACAATCTGAATCTGATTTCAAACAGCCACATTCTTGCTATCTAGAGACCCGGAGCGAGCCTTGCTAATTCGCACCATCTTGATTCCGTGCTGGCCTCGCAGAATTAAATGCGAGAGACCTAACAAGCTTGGCATATTCTACAGCGACCGAGAAAGTCGCACCGCACAAAAACCCGTCTATCTCCGGCAAGAATTTGTTGAAAATTTTATTCGTGCAATGCTTACATTTATTGTCATTACCGTAAAACCGTTTACGGCGAAAACCTGGATTCCCGAGGAAATACGCTGAATGGAAATGAATACGAACGAATACGAATACTTACAATTATTGTTTGTTTTATTAACGAGGATTTACTTTCGACGAGAAATGTAAAGTTAATTGGGATTATGGTATTGTATTGGACGACGTTTTTGGGTAATTGGATCGTTTGTTCGACGTAGTTAAGTCGCAGATTGGTACTTGCTAAGCTAGTAAATTGATTAATTACTGAACTCTTACTTAACACGGATAACCGACAAGTTTTGTCCTCAACTTGTTAACGCTTTTTGACTTGAAAGCTTTAGTGATGTTATGTATTGTAAGAGAAATATTTTTTTTCTCCCAAGGTGAGGCGAAAGGGAGTGTAAGACTCTTACTGTCTAAAAACTACAGCGTCCCTTCTCCTTCTGCAGGCCGAGGCCACGGTACCTTATTGCTCTTACCCCGCAACCCCGGCTGAACATTCTTTTCTTTCACTTATCAATGCAGAGTGTTGCATAGAAAAGTATGCTTCGGCGCAAATGGGCCAGATCGACTGGAGTGATACCACGGCCTCAAAAAATACCGGCGTGAAACAACTCTCACGTAGAGTTTGGTCGTGTGCATGAGGTTTCCGGAGGCCCAATCCTGCCCCCTCCCAACCGCCGATCCTCAATCTCCGAATCTCCTTTCCTTGCATTCCTAATAAACAGAACGAACAAAAGTCCGGCAATGCACTTATAGTAACTCCTGTTTGTTGCGAGTGTCCACGGACGGCACCGACACTACATTGCATCATCAACACGTATGCTCGTTTGCCGACCTATGCCATAAAAAGAAATATGTAGATAAATATTGAACATTAATTTAAATTACAAGTAAGTAGTAACTGCAAAGACCAATATTACTTGAGTAAAACCAATGCAAGACCAGCCAAATTCTCATCCAAGCTCAGAAACGTAGTCTTGTCACCGTGTCAGACCCAATTACGAACAAATTGGATAATGCAAACTAATCTCCCAGTGACCCAGACTTTACCAATCAGTTCGATCCACTTTGTAACCGGAGCCAAGTAAACTAGATTTTTTTTTCCTATTTTCTTTTCTTTTGTTTCGGCGTAATTGAATTATTGAATTTTGTATTATGTATCGAGTATCGAATGTAGCAACGAACCTACCTACTATTTTAGAAGAGAAACATCGAATGCCTACAATGGTATCTTGTTTGGCTAATAGCTAAACATGTCGTTCAGTGGAAATAGAAATACAGACAGGTAGTAAGTTTTATAATAGGGTCAACCTATTATATAGTAGTATACTCATAACATACCTAACTAGTGAATAGGGGGAGTAAGTGGGTGTTATTGCATTTTATATTATTTGGTGAGGCTCTAATATAAATACATTATAATCAAGTGTCATTATTCACCTCTGTCTTTCCTGTCTAACGAAGGAAAATTGTATTTTAAACGGATAAGGCTCTTCCAATATTACATACAAACTGTACACAGCCACATAACTAAAACGAATCTTCCAACAATAACCCTTTTCGCCACAAATAGTTGGAAAACGACTTTTATGAAATGCAAAACGAAACGAAAATGGCAGGATTTCTGACGACACTTCAGACGGGGGCTTTCAGCAAATGAGCGACGGCCTCTAGCGCTTCGAACAACGCGGACAAAGGAGCCCTTCTCGCGTCCTCAGGTCTTACACGCCGACCACCGTAACTTGAACTGCCGGGATACAAAAACTAGTTATGAACAACAACCCTCAAGCTAAGGCCACGGTTCTATTTAAATTAGTCGGTGGTACGGTGAAATCTCTGACGTTCCGTTGCACATTTCAGTTGGAAGCACTGTACCTTGTAATTGTACCTACCTTCCTATGTAGTTTCTTTTTCACAGCTCCACCGTATTTTCTTTTATCGTAGTTGTTAGGTAAAGTCGTTTGCGTATAACCAAGTGTAGCACGCGACATTGTGTGTAGCTGTATATTTTAAACGCTCCCGCGTGCGCGATTACAGAAGTTTACCTTATATTGAAATTTCTTTGTAGACATGCCATATGACTATTTGGAATGAAATTGCGGACCGCTACTGTAATGACCACGACCGCAAGAGTCGTAAGCGGAGACATCGTGGTACAACGATGATGCTTAAACAAAATTATCATTAGATATATAAACGAAACCAGTAAATAATATAGGGGGCAATTGTTATTAATTACGATTCAGATCATAAACTCTCGATTAATAATAAGGGTTTACGATCAAAACCAACTAATCTGATATAATAATCATTAATGAATTTACGACCGCAACATTCGTTAATTTGTAATCCTATCAAAATTGTCTGTGACGGAGGTACAAGGGAACCTGACTAGCATTTACAGACAAACAAATTAATTTGTACCCAGATACTGTCAGCGTAATAGGTCGTTAGTCGTGACGTCACTCAGTGCTAAACAACAATGATTTATGTCGTCCCCGCCACCCTTCGCCGCCGCCATGTACCCTTTGACGAGGTCGAATCATCATTTGTAGCTACACCAGTCACCAACTTTCATTCCATCTAACTCCCTATTAATAGATGATCGATTAGATTGCGTCTCTTTTCCAACAGCTTTTCAGTTTCATGACGAAATGTTGCTAATCGTTTTTTTATTGGATCTGGAAATCGTTTTTCGATTTTTGTCAGGTGATTGTATAATTTGGGAATAATTTACCCGAAAACGGCAACGAGCGTATTACTCTATAGAAGCAGATAGAGGAAGGCATGCCCCACTTACCAAAATACCGCGGTTTTGGCCCGGATCAGGAGAAGAAACAGGGTGGTTTTTAGTCAGTAAGAGTCCGACACTCCCTTACTCCACGCAGGAGGAGAAACGATATTTTATAAAAAACTTAATGAAATAGGAAAAAATATAACAAGGCCGTATAAGATAGATGCTAAGTTCTTAGGTTCCTACCTTAACGCAATTGGTAGTTTTAAAATCAGAAATCGTTTCATAGAGGTTGTGGAAATTACGCAATAAAGTACCACGGGCTCGGCCTGGAGTAGGAGAAGAATCAGAGTGGTTTTTAGCCACTGACATTACCTCTCGTCTCTCACTGGGCAATAAAAGTCATTTGATCTGACCTCAAAAAAGAGAATCAGAACCAGAACCAGTGACCCACTTACTACCTAAGTCACTAGAGCCTTTACTTTTGTGTCGTGAATGTCGGAATGTGTCGTGTAATTATCGTCAAGCAAAGGCCTATCACATACGAAAAAGTCAGCGCAATATTTTATCGAAAAATGCTCGACAAATCGATTAACAACGTTTAAATAAACGCCAATTTGTAGATATGTCACACAAACTGCAATCAACTCAACTGTCTAGTTGCAAAAAATATAAAGTAAAGCTTTCTGTTTTCCCATTTACAAGTTTAAAAATGGCTCGTTTCGCGTTCCATTTATCGGCACGTACGTAATCTCGCATCGGGCATCGCGCTTGTCGTGACAAATGACGCGCGACGTGACGCCAACGGATTCGTTGTGACAGCGACACGACAACGTCACGGCGTCACGCCGCCACGCGATACCGATACGACACGCGCGTAATCGAATTTCGGCTGAGTGAAATATCTTATTTATTGCGAGATGTAGGTTACCATCTGTGGAACTTTTCTGAAGATTTCTCTAGATAATACGTAGACAATGGTATCCAACACCTATGTATATAGGTATAGATGTGTAGGTGCATATTATGTACAACGTATTATGATTGTATAGGAACTTTCTATTGATAGGCAGGGGTAAAAATTAACCATATATCGAATTTCTAGGACTGTAGGATTAAGGAAGTCTATTAGGTAGAAATCGATTAGCTTTTAATTAGGTAGATAGGTATCTAGTTCTACCAAAACAGCACCTAAAAACTTTAAGCAAATTGGTATTAAGTAACTTAACTACTTATAAGCAATTTTCTAAACAATAAGTTACAGAACTAAGTTCCAAAAAAGATTAATTCGTCATTCCAATTTTCCAAATATCGAAATAGACAGTGAACGTACCGTCTAAACGGGCCTAAAATGGATTACTTATATTAAATCTTATAAAAAATAAATTGAACTGATCCTACTTATTAGAATTTCGCTGACGTTCCCTAATTGGATGGAACGAAAGACTTGAGTGCAAATTGATGCGGTTTTTTTCGTTAAGCCAACGACGCGACGGTTTATGTTGACAAAAAAGATCATTAGGTTGTACACAGAATAATATAATTAAGGTTAAGCTCCGCCTACCACTGGACTCTGGACAACCTAATTTCAATGTACTTTAAGTACCTACAACTTATTAAAGTTTACGCCCCCGAGACGTGGGCCGCGTGTCGAACAACTAACTCTGTTGTGTATTGCAACTAGGGGTAATGTATGAACATTAATGCGATTGTAAATCTTGTTTTATTGGCCAGTTGTAGACGGGTGGGGACGTGAGCTCGCTAGATACGGTCGTGCGTACGTAGCTTTGATTTAATGATTGAAAAAGTAGGTGCTGAAGTTCTTATATGTATACTATTTACGTGTGAGACATTACCACCATACAATGTAATGTTTTCAAGAGACTACTTTGGCATTGTTTATTCTGGCAATAGTATTTCTTAACCATCATTAATAATGGTTATGTGCCTTCCATCGGAGTAATGAAATCAATGAATTATATTAATTTATTTATATCTTCTTCAGAAAAAACGGTCTCAATGGTGGACTTAATGCCTGAAGGCATTCTCTCACAGTCAAACATAGGGTAGTGCAAAGAAATCAAGCGGTTGCTGCAAAGCGAGGATAGGTGTCCCGGAATTATAAATAATTATTAAACATAATGAATACTGGAGTAAAATAAAAATTGTAGGTTCATATTATTATGCTTATATTTCCATACAAAATATTGATTTTAAGTCATTTGAAAATTACATAAATACTACATCTACGTTATAAATACGAGGACCATCAGAACTGGTATCGTAAATGAATACCAGACTCTTTAATACTTTATACAGTCAATAAAATAAAAATACATTTTCAAAAATGATAATACAATCTCATTACAAAGAAGTGGATTTAAAAAAAATATAGGTATTTAATTAATTTCTGTAAAAGGTAGAGTATATATTTTTTCAGACTAGTTCACTAAATTGTGGCAACTTAGTGCAACAGTAGGTATAAAGTTCGGCACTAAGATCACAAAAAATAACTTAGAAAGAATATTAAAACAATTATTGATTACCGATAAAATAAACCTTATACTATGAAGTTGAATACTTTAAAGCGGTTAATAAAATGCACCCAAAAACCATAAGGTATACAAACGAAATTAATATAAATATAAATGAAAACGTTTAGCAGTCAATAAGGCAGTGACAATTACAACTAATAAATGTACATTACATTTTATCAAACAAATATTTCGAGATATATTTCTATGTAGTATAGGCACATAACACTTTCACATAATTATTTAAAAACAACAAATGATGATTCAGTTTGAGATTACACATTATGAGTTCTAAAGCCAGCATTATAAGGAACACATTCGTTTAAACCAGCGTTAATACCTAACCTACCAAAAACAAGAATATTAAACATAGACTTTATTATGCGTTATGTATTATGCCTAATTATAATTTGTGCATAAAACCTCAAAAGAGATTCATAACAACACCAAAGCGGTTTATAATATATAATGCAATACTTTTGGAATCATGATTAAGTAAATCATTCTTTTAAATGTATAATAATAATATATTTTTTTGTTTTCTTAATGAGTATTTCTTATCACTAATTTGAGTTTAAAATAAAAAATATTATCTTAATACAAATTAGGCAGGGTCTCATTTGGCGGGTGGACGGGCGTAAAGCAAATGTACTAGAATTAAAATTTTAAACTATTAAAAGGGGTTTCCCTTCCATTTGCATTAAATTCCTTGTCCTGATATACTTTGGCATTATTTGTTTTGCCGTTATAATAAATAGCCATTTTATTTTTTGCCACATAGTACCTATAATATTATGTTATCTTGCATGCTTCAAGACTAACCTTAGTTTGAATAGAAAAACTATGCTAATAAAATGACAAAATAAATTGTATAGTGTAAAAAAATAAACATGTTGTTTGTACTAAAAAATACTGACAGAACTTTGCGAACATATTATTAGGCTAAGCAAAGCACAACATTTAATAAGAGGTCTTAAAATTTTACACAAATGGATAGGAAACTCATTAAACGAATATAGCACTTATTTATAATTTAACAAGAACTATAATTACATACAGTATGCAGTTAGAATAGATGTAAAATAAAATATATGTATACCGTTTAGCCGCCGCATATTTGAAGGACCCCGACCTAATAATATTGTCAGCCATTATTCTCCTGCGGCAAAGACACAACCCGACATCCAAAAACTCACACACACTCGTAAACAACCTGCACTACACAACAGGAATATTTAACGCAGCACCACATTTAAAATTGAACTCTAAGTGACCACGGATTTAACCTGACAATTATTCTTGCATTTCGAATAACATAAGCGCTACATTTGGATGGCATGTTCTCTTAGTCACATTCACGTAACAAACATTCAATATCTGTAGGGAATATAACAATTTAATAGCTTTTAGTATCTTGAACAAACTTGTTAACCGTCTTAATACTTATATATTTCCAATACTAAATTCATCTCACAGCTCCCGTTAAGGCTAATTGGCCAATTTGAACACATCGCTTCATAGTGGAGTTAGCTTTAGGACATTTTTAGTATAAGGAAGGATCTAGAAACTTTTCTTGTAATATTGATTAGATTGAAAGTTTACAACCAATCAAAGTTTACAGTCATGCAATTTCTTCATATAACGACTTACGTGTAAGCCATATGGCTCATAATATCAGATCAGAGCCGCTTATGTTTTAATAAATAATATTATTATTATTAGTTTAATCTTCAAAGCTGCCATATTCTAAAGCTAACTCCACTTTACAAGGAGATTTGCATTGGATAATTCTATCAACAAGTACCAACATCATAATTATGTTATTTACAGAGACAGAGATTGAAGAGTACCCAAGAATGATGGAAAGAGACGATAGAGTGCCAGAGGGAGACAGAGATCATAGTAAATAGAGTACTCACACTAACAGACAACGCAACAATCAAATCCAAAAACATAATTGGGTAGTTTCCTAGGTCAAAAATAAATTAATTCGACGTTTTAATACGATAAAATATTGAAAAATAACTATACTTTTATTCATCGATGGATCGATACACTAAGTTTTAGATATTTTTTAGCTAATTTTTTAAAAATAAGTAAGCTATTTGACGCAAAAATGCTATGACGTCATAATTCAATGTTTCATACAATTTTCATAGAAAAGTATCGTTTTTGACATTTGGATAAAAGTATTGAATTTGACTAGTTGGAAACAACCGTATTAGGTAAGTTACGTAAGACTTCTAATGGCATGTAAGATAATGTACTTAATTGAGATTAATGCATTGAACGTGCTAATTGGTAAATATATTTGAAAGAAAGTCTTACAAGTCAAAATAAAGTGATATATATCACAAAATATAAGTCCTCTATTTACTTACGTCTCAGTGTTAAGATAGTTTTCAAAGGAGCCTAGGGATAGTAAGATGAGCACTTATGGTGTATATAAATAATCTGCACGACAAACATTAATCTAACATGCAAATAAATGCACGGATTTAAGAATAGATGTCCTGGAGTTACATTTTAATACTGTCTCAAATACTTTCACTTTTCTCATTACAAAAGAGTTTTATGAAATTATAATGATCATATTAGCCCAAATCCTGCAAATGCTAATAGAGCGATTCGTGTAAATCTCTTTAATTTACTTTGTATAAAATAATACAGTAAATGATAAATACTTGTCTACGTAATGTCAAGAACAACTCGAAGTGTCGCCATAATAAAAAAGCTTTAACAATGGCAACATTGACCACTCGATAAATTCACAGGTAAAAATAGATTTGTAATTTTCTTATCTTGGGAAGAGTAGAGAAGTTAGTGTTGAGTCAGTACAAGAATGGAGTAGTGTAGTAGTGCGGTGAGTGTGGGGGGAGGGGGGCGGGCGCGTCACACGGCGGCAGGAGAGGCTGATTGTCAGTGCCACTTCGCCTTCTGCGCGAATATGTCCGCTCGGAGGTTCTGCGCGAAGCAAATACCCAGGATCTGGTAAATGTACAATACTTACGTTAGAAAAAACTCATTTAATCATAATAGTGTAAGAAATACGAGACCTCAATTTTTCATAGATTCGAAGTTGACACGGAAAATATTTAGAATGTATTAATATTTAATATACTACTTAATATTTATTTGTTTTTGTAGCTAAATTACAAATACGCAAAATTTTATTTATTTTCATTTAAATATACAGGGTGTAAAAAGACACGTAACGAAACCGAAAGCCACGTATTCTACCCATTATTTGGATCATTTTTTTCTTTAAGACCATAGCTGGGACTCCACGGGTTCTCGAGATATTGAAGGTCAAAGATGCATTGTTATTTTTTATTTTACTGCGCAATCGAATTCTAAGTATTATTACAAAACTTTTTTCCAAACAAACATTACCTGAATTTTCGATTTTACTAAATAAATTACGCATTTGAAGTTACGAACAGTAATGTACGTAATAAATAAATGCAGACCCGCACAAAAAAATCGTGCATCTCAGTAGGATTTTTATTTTACAGAATTGTTTTGTTGTTGCGAAGTAAAACGTCGACCTACGTACTTATCACAGCGTTTTAATGCTAAGCTGTGAACCTACACACACAATGACACGAAGCCCGTTTGCTTTACATTGCGCGCAATAAAATTATTATTTTTTTTGAAACCTAAAAATAAAAGTCATTTCCCAGTGATAATTTTAGCGTAAAGCTACTTAGTTAGAACTGCAGAATGCGTAGTTAACGGCTTCGTTAAGTGTCTTTTTACACCCTGTATGATTATATTTGTATTATCACCAAAATATTTAAACATTTTCTGTGTCAACTTGAATTTTACGACATAAATTTTACACTACAATGAACAAACAACGCTTAATCTAAAAAGCAAAACACAAAGCATAAACAAATACATATAGTACAATGAATAACCAGAAGGTGCACCTACAAACATAAACTTACTTGTGCAAAAGCAGTACAAACAGCGGACGTGGCTACTATCAACAGGTTGTGGTCGAACCACTCCTCGGCTGCCTCTAAGCAGCCCTTGTCATATATAATCTTTGTTCTATCATAATTCTAGAACAAAAAGAAACGAAAAACATCAACGGGAGGCAACTACATGCTATGAATCAATGTACTGCACATTCCTACGCATCTACCAATTTCAATGTGAAGTTTGTGAGAGTGAAGGAATGAATGAATGAATGAAAACGAGTGTCTTTGACTAACATGTATATTCTGTGGTACTGAATGAAAATTAGAACAACGTTTATTGGCAGAAAAATATACGATCAATGTTTAATGTTTATTAATGCATCGTGTGGTGTCTTGATGCAAGGAATGTGCTATTAGCACTAACAACAAAAATCACAAAATATGGTGCAAGACTACACAACTCGCATACAACTTGGAAGGAAAATGATAATGAAAACCAATTCCGAAATCATCACTGACATTTTCCGTGAAAAATACCCATAATACGTACAAAACATATAGAATGCGAGTGTTATTATTATTAATGGACCTTTAGCGCTAAGGGTCCGAGTAGGATGGCGGCGACGTGAGGGAAGTGTCTCTGGAGCCAGTCCTCGCCCGCCGCCAAGCAGCCGCGCTCGTGTATCACTCGTTCACTCAGTTGCTGGTCATAGTCTCTTGTTAAATTTATTATACTTTTCTCTTATTTTAAGGTCACCAGGTAGGAGAGAATGGGCCGGCTCGACCGGCGTGATATCACAGCCTTAGTGACATTGCATTATCGCCTTTAGTGTTGCGGGCAGAGCGCCAATTGCTTACAATCAGAGAATCCTTTGCCGGTCGTGAGAAAACTATAAGTCGTCCCATAAATACAAAAAATCCGCAGGGCAATGAACGTCATATTTTGATTAAACATAATAAGTTGTTATAGTTACAAGGTACACATTCGCAAAATTTATGTTTTTATTTTTTGAATTAAAAGATACATGTATTGTTTAAAACAGGCTGATATGTGTGAAAATTTCTATATCTTGAATATACTCCCAATTTGGAATTGCAGGGAGAGGATTGCTTCGGCGCGAATGGGTCAGCTCGACCGGAATGGTAACACGACCTCACAGAAAACCGGCATGAAACAACCACAGCGTTGAGTTTCGAATGAGGTTACCTAAGCCTGCAACCTTTCCCTCTCCCAATCCCTCTTCAATTCCAAAATATCCGAACCCTTTATCCCCAAATCGAATAGCAACACACTCCTCTGGCACTGCGGCCGTTTATGAGCAGCGCCGATAGTTTACCATCAGGTAATCTGAAGAGATCTCGTTTACCGCCCCATCAAAACAAAAAATTTAAAACAAAAGCTACTTACGTAGGTAGGTTTCCTAACATCGTATCCGCACTGTTTGTTTCTGATGATATCTTGTGGTTTGTTTCTGCAACAGCTGAAGGGGACTCCACAAGCCTCGCGCGAGCCCACTGCACCACTCGAACAGTTGAAGTAGGCATTACGGTCCCAATCTCGAGGACCTTCCACACCACAGCATTGTAACTGAAGGAGACAAACAAACATAATAGGACTAAGTTAACCTGTAATCGGTAATCTGTAATCGATAATCCGTAACATGTAATCGGTAATCTGTAATCTGTAACATGTAATTGGTAATCTGTAATCTTTATAAAGAGGTAAGGAGGTAATCCTTAGAACCGATGGTCCGATTTTAAAATTCTTTCACTAATAGATAGCTACAATATTCATTGAATTTCATTAATAAAGGTATTCCCTCGAGACGCGGGCGAAGATGAGCGAAACAGCTGGTTTATGTATCAAAATAGAAGATAACGATAGTTGTCATCACTAGATGGCGCTGAAGCGTAATATGTTGCCTTGCTAAATTAAAGCTCTGAAGCTAAAAAATAAATGTTAGATGAAAATGCAATTCTACAAATTAAGCGAATATCTTTTAATCTGTTTGATAGGCAAAACATATTTTTTTTATATTTTTTTTATGTAATAGGTCGGCAAACGAGCAGACGGATTACCTGATGGTAAGCAATCAGCGCCGCCCATGGACACCCGCAACGGAGGAGTTACGAGTGCGTTGCCGACCTTTTTGGGATTAGGGATTTGGAGTTTTAGGGATTGAGGGAGGGGAAGGATTGGGCCTCCGGTAACCTCACTGACACGGCGAAACACAACGCTGTGGTTGTTTCACGCCGGTTTTCTGTGAGGCCGTGGTATCACACCGGTCGAGCCGACCCATTCGTGCCGAAGCATGGCTCTCCCACACTTTTTTATTCAAATATGTTAAATTTGAATATAAAAAGGAAGAAATTTGTTAATTAATGCGAAAATAATGGTGATAAAGGGACCTATAACTCTTTAATATAATTTTACGTGACGTTACTAACATAGTTCCCATCATACCAGTCCATAACAACCCACACCCATAGCCTTATCACTTGCTTCCATTATCCGCAATAGTCCTACACTAACCGAGGACTGTCCTTGGGTGTATTTCCATAGTGCATACAGGGATAGTCAACAGTGTGTGTCCCAATTCATTTAGATTAAAGTTTCTTAAGTACGCCTCCCAAATGACCGGGACCCTGTGGTCCCGTAATTGTAAAGACATACAAATAATAATGACACGCACCCAGTCTTCTTGTATCCAATCAATTAAGTTTTGTTGGTCAGGATCCTCTCTATAATGTGTGATGAAAGATTGGAAACCAGTCGTTGCTTGTTGCTTTATCTGAAATTAGAAAATGTATTTACGTTAAGGACAATTTTTTCTGTAGTCAGATAAATGTTATGTGAGGAATAAAATTGTTGCTGTCACTGTCTTACACAAACGCTCTGACGCGACAGCATCATAATTATTCCCCAGATAACTTTTATCTTGCCATTGAAAAATCAGCCGTAAATGTTAAATAGTCCCATTGTGACTTAAAACTCATAGAGCTTTTTCCCAGTTAATTCACGTAAGACTTTATTTTAAATAAATTACTCACGATAGTTACTATTAAAAATATTTACATTGAGAACAAACCCAACAGCCATCCAACCACTACATACAACTAACAACCATCTTACTGACTTCAACGTAAGTTGCCGTTCAAATGTACATATCAAATGCATTCGATCATAATTGATTCAGCCGTTTACGAGAATAGAGACATACGCACATTTATTAATTGAATAAAAAAAAGAAAATAGGCGAAAAGAGATAGACACATTGTACATGGACTCCTATGTCCAATAAGAAGAGGCCCTCCATTAGGAAATTAAAAGGCGTAATACACTATTCCATTCACAATATCAACTATAAGGTACTCTCTCATATTTACATTGTAATAGTATCATAAACTGGAATCACGGTCTCTTCTGCTAACGTCTTCAACCGCTTTACCTGGATGAAAAGTAGCATTTTGTATGTTGTATTTTTATCTATCTCTGTGCCAATTTTATTTAAAATCTCATCCATCTATACTAGCAAACTTTCAAGTTTATATTATTAGTAGGAAAGTAGGAATTATACAGAGTTGAATCACTTACCCAGTCCTTAAATACGAAGAATAGAATGCCAGTAACCATTTCTGCCAGTAGAAGCAAAGCAAGGAAAATGGCATACTGAAAATAAAGGAAGTAATTATTCGTTGATAAGTAACAAATCAAATACTAATAGGTATTATACTTATGGTTACTGATAACTGTTATGAAGCATACAGTATATAGGTAGGTATTCAATAAATACCTACTAATATTATAAAATGCCAGATTGAGAAAACTTGTAAGCTGATAATAGGATAATTTCCTACTAGTTAAATATAATACTTTTTATTTATTCTGAGATATCAAAAACGACAACTTTATATGATTTGTTTTATGAAATAGAACGTTGTGACGTCATACTTATTTCAATCATCACCTACTTATTTCTATTGAATTGTTTAAAACCATACGGACACTGAGTACACCGATTAATTATAATTAATGAAGACGTTTTTAAGTATTTTTATGATTTTATAAGTTGAAATATAAAAATCATTTTTATTTAAGAAAATTACCCATTTAATCAAGGAGCAGATACTAATAATGTATCCGGTAGGTACGTCCGCCACAAATAAAATAAACAAAGATTAACTCAAACTAATATTAAGTGACAGGAAGTTTGTTTGAACATTTCAATTTTGTTATTTTTTCATTAAACACAAATTACATTGAAAAGGAAATGCGCTAAGAAAATGAGTAACGTCTTGAATAAATTCCATTCGGATATTAATTGGCTTGCTTCATAGAATAAAATTGTGACACCATAGTAACATGAGCGCGTGACAGTGTAACAGTATATGCCACACTATATTTACAATAATTTCCTAGCGCTACTAAAGTCCATATTGCCTTAATCAATTAAGTTACAAACGCCTTTGTTCTCCTATCTTCGTTATGCTTCATTACTACTCAATAAACTTTACCTACATGTAATCATTATCATAATAATCTAATTAAGTTACTATGATTACTAAACAAATGGAGTACCCACCTCTAAAAACATTATAATCAAGTACTACAAAGTAGCACTATTTAACTTTTAATAATATCTGATATGCTAATTGAAATCGAATAACAAAGTTCATTATTTCCTAATACAATACCTACACTGAAAATAATTGCATTTTCCCGGTATATAAGAATATTTTTACAGAGATTTATAAACTGGTTACAGATTATACCAAATTCACAGAATTTATGATTCACATAAGTAGCAATGTTTATGAATCACAACATTGGGACTATTTTTGATTCTTTGGATTAATTCTAAGGAATAACTAACAAATATTGACTCTTAAGCTTGGATGGTTAGAATAGTTTGACATATAGACTTTATAATCTGTCGACGAATAAACATATATCAGGCCCTTTTTCGGACAACAGTCAGCACTGACTAAACCATCGCATCTACGGTACATTATAGTGCTTGCGCTAGCAACTCTGGCTGGCGGTTAGGACTCCATTCTGTATTTACTCACTATAATCTATAACAATAGCAATTAGGACTCACGCATGCAAGCAGGCACGTGTTCTCACGAAGAGCACCGACGCAGCCCGTGAACCCAATTATGAACGTAATGGCGCCTGAAACACAAGACGAAATAATAATCATCATAGTACAAAAAATACATGTTTTTTCTCACTTTATCACTTTTTAACGTAAACATTAAGCTTTATAATGAATATAAAACAATTTTCGCATTAAATATTGTTAAGATTGTCAGCCATCTGACCTTCAAACGTAATTTCCGATTACAACACATCTAACCAAGGTACACAATAGGATTTCGTTTTGTAATACCAATTGCCTATGTTGAGAACTCAATCGTCTTAAAAATGTTACTATGCTAGAGCCTATATTCGACAGTTAGTATGTCTGGTTCACAACTATTTTATTAGCCAAAAACAATAATAATTCGGTTTTTTTTTATATCTTTTAAATTAATAATTTATTATGTTGGTACCTGTTTGTTTACTCAATCATGATATTATTTAATTATGGAACTGGTAACATAATTTCTATTATGTGCAATTACAAGGTTATTTTGTGACAGCTGTATATGTCAGGGCTCTATGAGTAATAACAATATAGGCCCCGACCTGGAGCAGGGCTGAGTTTTAGTCAGTAATAGGCTGAAACTTTTCACCGCACCCAAGGTGAAATAGGTAATTTTATGTTTTTCTCACCTCGAAGAAAAGTATAGTTTACTTTATTTCAATTGTTGCAAATTACATACAATATTCAAACAAGAGCATTCTTTCTTTAAATTAACCTACATAAATTGTTTTTGGTATCATCATGTATCATGTATTCCGATATCTGAATTGGAGAGCAATGTAGTTTTGATTTGTTTACGGCCAAACAAATTTATTTTAGCTAAAAAATTGTCGAATTTCCAAAAAAGCAAAAACTGCAATGCCTCCATATTTTGTTATTAAGTCTTCGCTATCTTATCTTCTCAATAATACTGTTTACTTTAAATATTAAGAAATTTATTTACATAGTAGATATAAAAACTTTGTTATCATAGTATTTTAGCGAGTTTTCATTTAGATATTTCCATTTTATTGTCAACTAAAATAACCAGATTTACATTATGCTACAAATGTATACAGATTGGCCGCATCTGGGATTGTATTGAATAAATAATTGTCTGTGATACTCACCCACACATATTAATATAAATGCTGGATCCAATGCAATGTTAGTGAGCCTGGATAAATTGTTAAATGTATCCTTCTCAGTCCATGCCCACACTCCCACCGCTAACACAATCAGACCGAGGAACTGAAATGTAAGGATAGATGGCACTTAATTATACATCATTCACTTAATATATTCATAAATAGAATTTTAATGACACATTTTTTTGATGTGCCAATCATGAGGCATACTCATTGTTCAATAAGTTGTTTTAATTAAGCCTATCTAGAGACTAACTAATTGATTAAAACCATTTTTGAGACTAAAAACAAGTTTCTTACATTAAATAATGAATGTACATAAATAACAGCATCACTCCCGTCATTTGACTACCTACCCTGCTCTATCTACCCTACTCTACCTAACCTACACTACCTACTCTATCCTATATCCTTCTCCCAGTTCTTAGCTAGCTCCCTACGAATTTTAACCATATCTGTTCAGCCGATCTAGAGTTATGAATAGTGTAACTAACATGACTTGCTTTTATATACACAGATATATAGTACATTTACTGCATTTTTAACTTATTAGAAATGCTAGTAACAAATCATTAATTGTGAGGAGTATATTGTTTATTCTATGCAATAATATAACGCAAAATATTTTTAATAAACAGAATATTGCCTTCAGCACATTGTTATCAAGGTATCCATATGTACATTGCTATTATTTGCCATTAAATTAATAAACTAATGATCACATTCCTGATTTGCCACGATAAAAAATTGTATAAACAGGACAAATTATATTCTGTGATTACAATAGCATCTGCATGGATTGTGTTGTTTTTATCATAATTTAAATATGGAAGTTTATTTTTATTAGAGTGGAATTGTTAATAACACGTTTTTCATATTAACTGAAAGTAAAAAGTAAAAAGAAGTAGTAAATGTGACTAAATCATTTTATAAGATAAGAAGTTTTGTTAACCTTCTACAGTTTTTGCATTTAATTTACGTAGTTTCAAGGCTAGTAAAACAATAATATTGAATTGTTAACTTTGCATGTAGCTAGCAGGATGCAAACAGTTATACTTGTACTCAGTACTGTTATACCAACTAATTGTATGTAGATCATTCTAAACAAGTATTCAGTGACCCCAATAGCTTGGCAATTTGCACAGCTGAGATGAAATCAATGAATCAATACCCACTCAAGCTATTTCCTATAGATATCGGGTCAAATCGAGTGTCTACAGTCATCAATTTTTATCTCCCAAATACAACACTTGTGATCTTATTAAAACCTTAACCTTCATACAGTTCAATTCACATGTCAATTCAGCTAATTATATGTAAATTACAAAAAGTATAAGCAAAAAAGAGATCCTACACTTACCCAGAACAAAACATTCACACCAAAAATAACATATTTCAAACAACAGCTGACTTCGCTGGTATCCCGTCGATATTTCCTTATGCCAGGCATTTTAAGTATCACATAATAAACCCACAGTATTAATAAAAGAAGGACTGAATACTACATTAATAAAAATATATTAGAAGTAAAATCTAATAAACTAAGCAACTAGGCCAAACATTGGCCAAATCAACGAGAGCGAGTGGAGTGAACGACCGTCAAACAAAAGAAAGGAAAGTTATACGGTTAAATAAAATAGTAACTACAAGTAAATTATAACTTAGCTGTCAAATGTCAAAGCCTTCCTAAAATATATGTGTCAGAGTGAGATAGACAATGAAACATGACTATTTGTAATGCTCTCTACAGTTTGGTCGCATTGTAATACGCACAAAATAACGTTCTGTTATACGCAAGCATACGATGAATGTATGAATGGAATTTAAAAATCGAATAATTTATTTGCAAATCTTTCTAGTGTGTGACTAATTAAAAAACAGCCAATGAACAATTAAAGAGATGTAAGAAATGAAAGAGAACGAAATCTAGTTTAGCTGTCTATCGTAGACAAGAATAAAATTAGTCCACTTGTTACAATTAGACAAATTAGGGCCTTATTGTAGTAACTTACATTACAAACTTTTATGACCACTAGTGCCCGTACATTATTATAATATTAATGGTCTCCAAACTAGGCTATGCCTGTAATTTCAGGGCTATTCCTAAGAAATAAATTATAATTTTGTTGTAGGTTGGTTTGCTGCGGCCTAACAGGTTGATCTACCCACTTACATAAGTTATATTTTACTTACTTCAGTGCAATAAATATATTAATAAGTGTAGTAGAGCCGATTTTCAAAATAAACGGGTCGGCTCGACCGGAGTGGTCTCCGGCTATCCTTAAATCCTTAATAACCCACAAGAGCCAGGCAACAGGCCTGTAGATCCTTTAGTAGCACCTTTGACTTTACGAGTGTCCATGAGCGGCGCTTATTGCTTACCATCAGGTAATCAGTCTGCTCGTTTGCCGACATATGAGATAAAAAACGAGCCAGTGAGCATAGATGCTCACTGGCTTCAAATGCGAAGGTTCAAAAATAATCTGAAAAAATGTTAAAATAAAAACAAAAACATTGTACTTAGGTTTTTTTATAGTATTTTTATTGATGGTAAGTATGGTAAGTATATACACAATATTGTATTAACTAGGTACTTTATTTATACAGTTCTTATTTCTGTTAATGATCACATTTTATTCCATCAGTCGTATGTCTAGTGATCCAGTCGATGTAATTGCTGACTTTCGTGTAGACCCCTGAAAAGATCATGAAAATACATGAATACAAGGAATTTTCAAGAACTACTTAGGCAGGTACATCCTACAAACTTAAGCTCCTAAATGCATTTGTAAACTTGTACCAATAAGTCAATAAGCTGCTTAACACAATAATGACTTATTCACGTGAACAAACTGAGAAAAACTCTAAGAACTTATTAGTTCCAAGTCACAACAGGACTCTTATTCATGAGCGGCGTGCGCGTCACGGGGACGCCTCGCACCCAATTGAGAGCTATAATCTCAGTTAATTCTCGTGAGTAAGTCGTAGGTAGGAACGAGGGGGTTTTAGGTCAGTAAGAGTCTGACACTCTCTCTCGCCTTAAGTCATTCGATGATTTTCCCCTGACAAAACAAAAAGTGGAAGTAAGGGCGGAAAATAATCTAGGTACATATTGAAAATAAAAACATACCAGGATACCTGGGATCTGCACATCCGATACCCCATGAAACGACACCTGCATTCAAACGAGCAAATCATTTATTAGAGTCAAGGTTCGGTTAGTTAATTTGCAAGCACTAGCTCTTCTCATTAACCTCGTCTAAATCGTCTCATTAAAGACTTTCCTTTATGCATTCCTCATCGAAAGTGACTGTAATACCGGGACTTTGTATTAGTGGTAATCGTACCTTAGGTAATGAATTGTTATCGAATTAAATTTTGATGAAATGAACCAAAACATAAAAATAGTTTTGAACTGAGCATTGTGAACAATAAATAGGTAATCTTATGTAATTGATTAGGCGCATCTACCAGTACCTAAATTAAAATTTCAACGCCATAGTTTCAAAACAAATTGCTTATCATTTTTATCGTTGCCTAGGATTTTCAAGGTATTGACAAACATACAATTTCACATACACATCACAACCAGACCCAAAACAATAATTGTAGATCACATCACACGAAAATCGAAACCACGACACGTTGAGCGGCAGCCGTATGCCCAGGTACCGCGCCAACCGTGTAGTTGTTGTAATAAATATATATTCGTTTATTTATTACTAGCTACCCTCGCGCAGTTTCACTCGCTGCTCGGCTCCATTTGATCGTAGCGTGATGTTTTATAACCTATAGCACTCAGGAACATTGTAGCTACCTATCTATCAATGAAAGAATTTTAGCAATCCGACCAGCCATTCCAAAGATTCCAAAGATCCACAGACATACAAACTTACAAATTTTTCCTCTTTATAATATTAGTAGGTATAGATAAATCTTGCTAGCATAAAATTATACGTAGATTCGAAACTACCACAATTTAGAACGCGTACCTGGCTTCACTGACCTACAGACTAACTTTTAAACTTTCTCGTTTCATATTTACAACATATAATTACGCGGGTATTAACGCGAAAATAAATTACTTTGAACGTTTCTGCTTGCGACTACGACCTGTGCAACCAGGTCGGAACGTCAAGCAAGACTACCAAGATATTTAAATAATTATTTTCGCGTTAATACCCGCGTACTTACGAGTATATGTATACGTATATGTTGTAGACTGACAGACTTCTATTCTATTTTGACTATGAATAAATGATTTTGACTTTGATTTTGATACATATCTAAATGGGGATAAACATACGGACAAAGATAGCGACTATGTTTCATACCATTTAATGATTAGTTACATTAAATTAAATAACGTAGATTTTAAAGTTTTACCTGCTTGAACATATCTTCCTTCTGGTTGAAAAACTAACAAAGGCCCCCCGCTGTCACCCTGTAAAAGTAAGAATGTATTAGTGATTACTTAATTAGAACTATACTGTCATACTTAAATACATACGAAATGTATGCTTTTAATTGTAAATTCATAGTATTAAATCTATCCTCACTGGCGAAATTAAATCTAGGTACCAAAATTTGATTGACAACTCGGAAAATATTTTACGCATTTTCATTTCTTCAACCTTACATACTTTTTACGAAACTGTAGGCCTACCATGAAGTGTTAAAACGTGAATCTTCCGGGCGAGAAAGAGGGATGGAGCTATAAAAGGAGTGTAACTCTATCCCTCTTTCTCGTCCAAAAGATTCACGCTTTAACACGTCATGGTAGGCCCTCTGATAACTTAATAATGTGCTGACTTCGCAACGCACGAAATAAAAAAGTTAGGTCCAAAAGCCAAAAATCTATGGGAATAATAAAAGCTGTGAGTCACGTGGTCAATCGATATCATTATCGTAAGTTGGTAGACAATGCTGGTTTACTAAGATATAGGCCAAAAGCTCAAAATAATACCTAGTTATTTTTTAATTCTAACTGCAAGCGTGCCAGCTGAAAACCCGTGTAGATAAGGTACCTAGTCACTGAGCCCAAATCAAACTGAGTTAGCAACTATTTGGCATAGGAATGTTGCTCCCTTTTTTGTTGTTAGTACCTACTTAATTATTTTTGTAAGATTTTTGATTTCTATCTTTTTATAAATATTTTGAGTAACGTGAATGGAGCCGAATAAATGTTATTTCCTTATTTTTTTTTTTTTATCGATTGGTGTACGTACCAATTTGCTCAGTGTTGGAATAAACACCGAAAAAAATAACCCTGATTTAAATTGCAATAAATGTTTTGCTTTTTCCACATGGGCCCCATGCCCAAGAATGCTGTTAACAATTAAATAATCTTTGGTACTGATACAAAGTTATTTATTATAACATTTTCGTTCCCTACACACTTCATCAAGATTATGGAAAACACCATCCATCACCCCACATACGAGTATCACAATTTGGTAAAGCTGTCTTAATTCAAAAGACAGTTTTATCTTTAATATGTTGTCCCAACCTAGGGTTTTGCTCTCTGCTGCAATCTGGTCGCCGGGCGCGGATCCTCTGCCGCGCCAAATTAGTGCGTGGTGGAATGCGCTTCGGCCAGATCTCATGGCTGAGTGGAAGCAGTGACTATTACCGGGCACGCTATTATAGCAGCTGCGGTTAGACCCCTCTTTAAGGAGTGACTTGAGAGACGCCACGGCGTCCTCACCTTCGGCCTGATGTAGGTCCTTACCGGGCACGGCAGCTTCGGTAGGTTCCTGTTTCGGATCCAGCGGGAGGAAAAGCCCGAGTGTCGACATTGTGAGGACCATCTACAGGATATGGTGGAGCATACGGTGGCGGTATGCCTTGCCTGGGCTGAGCAGCGCCGTGTCCTCAGGGAAGTGATCGGCGGCGGCGAACTCTCGGCCTTAGCCGAGCCATGGTGCGGAGAGAGAGGAACTGGGACGCCGTCTCCTCCTTCTTTGAAGCAGTTATGCTCGCAAAGAGGGAGGCGGCCCGCGTGAGTGAGCAATCCTCCTCCTCACACCCCAGCCGCAGCAGCAGGCGACACTACTGGCGTCTGGGATCAAGGGATTTCCGGCCACCGTAAGCGCGGGTCTGCGGACGGCGAGTAAGGACAACGCCTTGGCGGCTCGCCGCCCAACCAGAACCAGACCCGAGCGTACGGCGCGTAGCGTTCCGCGCGCGCCTCAAAGAGCTAATAGACCACCACAGACGGATCCCTATAGGGCTGATGTTCAGCCGGGACTGCGGTGTAAGCGCAATGAGGCACCGCGACCTCGGGCCGGAGCAGGAGAGAGGGGATTTTAGTCAGTAAGAGTCTGACACTCCCTCCCGTCTGGCCCTGGGCGGGAGAAGTCATTTGATGATTTTCCCCTCACAAAAAAAACCTAATAATAATTTCACATACACATTACAAGCAGACACGGAACAACAATTTGTAGATCACACAAAGAAGTGTTGCATGCGGGATCGAACTGCTTTTCCATAAAACATGTTTTTGTAATTAAATGTATCAATTTCTTTAAGTCTGAATACGTACCTGGCATCCATCTTTTCCTTTTGAAAAGGCACACATCATTGTGGGCTTGAGATGCTGTGCCAATTGTGAGTTCATACAATCTTCATCGGAAAGTATCCGAAGACTTGCTTTTAGCAATACTTTTGATGATGACTTCTCAACGCCCACTCTGCCCCATCCAACGATAGTTCCTATTCTATTGGTAAATATTTCACCTGAAAATATTTAAGATGAGATGTGTAAAATTTGAAATTCGATTGACAATTTTATCTGTGATTTATTGGTGATTTATGACATGTTACTCTTTATTCTGAACAAAATATGAAGTACCTCTAACACTATAGGCAATATGAGTACAACAATCATCTAAAATTCACAAGTTTGTAATTATTATATTATTTATAATAGAATTTATTTAGTTTCAGAATACCTACATAATAAAATTACACTTACATAATGAATACATCATACATAAATAATGAATAATACAGTCATTTGGGTTTATTGTTGATTGGCATGTTAGAAAAAAAATCGACTAAATGACCAGAAAAAAAATAGAATGTATTTTTAAAATGAGGTAGATTATGCCTTGTTTCCAAATACTTTGACGTAATGCTGCCAGTATTTTTTTATTTAAACAAAATAGAATTTGGTGCATTCATTATTGTTATTTAATCTTGGTACCTGTTTCAGAAAATAAGGATACATAATAAGTAAGACAATTTTTCCTTAGATTAATTCGGAGTAATTACAACATCGTATTGGCATAACAGAAAATTTATTTGGCACTATTCAAAAATAAAAATAAGCACTTCTTTTTTCGTAATTTTTTGGCGGCTAGTAAGTAAAGATTTATTAATTTTTTTTCGGCCAAGCAATAAGATACCGACATGAAGGTTTCTTAACAAAATAAACATTATTGCTTATCGTTGTAATAAGGTTTTTGAAATAATTAACTAGCACTTAAATAGTTTTTTTGATAATAATTGTTAGATCAGATTAATCAGTAAAAATACTGTAATATTTTGCTTTTTTTTTCACTAACGAAAGTAACCTGGCAGATGTCACGAACAGCGTTACAATAGCAACTTAATACCTCCTATCCTAACAAAGCATAATAAAATTCTTGTTTAAAAGGGCATTCATATCTGTATTTAATTTTAATTTGAATAAACTTTATTATTTTTAATTCAATAAATCAATAGCTTAATATCTTTATAATTATGTATGTTATTACATCTCTGGTACAGACCTGGTAGAGGTAAGCATATTGGCACGATATTATCACTAAATTGGACTGGCTGGTTCAACGAAGCGATAGCAATATCGTTCTCGTCTCTAACAGCAGTCGATGTAAACGCTTCATGTATCACAACATTCGAAATATTTCGTTTCTCCACATTTTTTAAATCGTCCATATTGTCCAGTCCTATTAGAACCTCCATGGTTCTGTAATTATCCCTGTAAAAACATAAATTCTATTTTTAATTTTGACATAACGCACTGGCGGGAAATTTTGTTTGTTTCATATTAGGTAATTCTATACCTACCTAGTCTATCTACATAATATATTCAGTGAACTCATTCGTGTTTTTCATTTTATTTTTATATGTCTCAGGAATGTTATACAACGGATCTGCTCCACAATGTCGGCAGACAGCATATTTATTATGTTCTAAATCATTTTAAATATAGAACACAATTTGTAAGAACTTTGTGTCGCATAAGTTTTTTGGGAGTATTAGTAAAATGGGTGTAAGCATCAAGTACTTTTAACCCTTGGTTCGTCAGAACATAGCAACAAAATATTTTCTTTTGTGTCTTATATACCGACAGATAGTAAAATACAATAAAATCAATACTTTGTCAAAAATTACCATTTAAAACAATGTCCCGCGCTAAGGACGTGTTTGTGCGTGATCATCGCCCCGCCGCAGTGCATCCGATCATTTTTCAAGATGGCCACGGTCCAGGGAAATGAATGTGGTTCAGCTCTCCTTCCTCCAACTATCCTCATCGACACCACTCTGTCTGAAGGCTTGCCACACTCTGCTCAGATACATATGTTCAAAAATTTTGAATCCTTGCTTAGTTAGGTCGAGATGAAATAATTACTATCTATCGACCTACTCAAATGAAATTAATCAATTAGTATTTTGTACGGGTTATGAATGGGTTGATGATTACTATGACATTATTATGTTAGGGAAAACTGGTGGACTATGATTGCACAAGGGCTATGTAGATCCTACATAAAAACTACCTACCTATAAAATAGCATTCTTTCATTTATAATACGTAGGTAACATCTTATGTAAGTGCATATAAGTAATAAATAATAAAAATAAAATGTATTTTTTGATAGAAATGTTGTACAATTAAGCTGCCAGGGCTTCGTATAAAGTAATCTGAAGATACTTGTGTTGGGATAGACCTTGATCTTCCTAGTTTATAAGTCAGTATTCAGATAACTGTTATTTAGGTACCATTAGAACTAGCATAACTGAACTTTCTTGATATATGGTTCCTTGTTAATTAATTGTATCTACATAATAATAATGGCCCTATACAGAAGGCAGTCCTCCTTGAAATGGCTTAGGGCTCCAGAGAGTGAAGATTTGTGTCTCTGGAGCCTTAACCACTGGTAGCTCGGACCTTATTTCCGATACCGGCTTTTTTTTTGTGAGGGGAAAATCATCAAATGACTTTTCCCGCCCAGGGTCGGGCGGGAGGGAGTGTCAGACTCTTACTGACTAAAAACCCCCCTGTTCCTACTCCTGCTCTAGGCCGAGGTCGCGTCCCGCTACCGGCTGGCTCCTATTTTTATGTTTTTAAATATTATCTTTCTGGATTATTTTAGTTATATTTAAAAATGAAATTTTAAAGTTATTTAAATAAATATGTAAATATGTAGTATAGGTACTATTTATACTAACATATGTAATTTTTGCTCAGTTTTTGGAGTTACTTACATTTTTAATAAATTTTCTACTGTATTTCCTGTTTTAATCTTTACCTTCTCAATTTTTTATTTTTATAAGTAAATAGGTTGTACGTTGAACCTACAGCCTACTAACCTACCTTTAATTTAAGAGCATACACTAACATTTTTGTCATGTTTTTAAGTCTGACTGTATGTATTTTAGTTAGTAAATCTTAATTAATAATAAATAAATTATCTATTTGTCACTGTACACCCAGTTATGAATTCAATATTCGAGTCTTCTATACATTTCGTAGTTAATTAGCTCGTAGTCCTCTTAATAAATATCTTGGGCGATGCAAATAGTGACCTATTCTTGTTCAGGGAAATACTAATTAATTTAATTAATATGAGACGTTATTGGGACAGTTAACGGTTCCGTAAGAGTTGGAATGTGTTCGAGGTGACACGATTCTCGAAGCAGCGCATAGGCCTCCTGTGAAACAACGGTCAGCGGCGCGTGTGTTGCACATGGAAGTAAGACAACTGCATTAAACATTACGTGCATAAATATTTTATTGTCAACTCATTATATGATCTCTTTTTAATTCCTTCTTTAAATAGCTTTGAACATTACATAATTCTAACCATAAAATAAATAATTTTATTTTAAAACATATCCTATCATAATACTTGTAACGCATTCTTTACAATGGAAAGTCGGATCAATATTTCGGTTATTGATATTTATCATATCAACAATATAAAAACATTTAGTGGTTAATTTAATCTAAGGCTGGACTAATTACAGCATTCGTCTCAATTTTACATGTTAGTTCCGATGATATCGACGTTCACGTTTTTCCGCTAGTTAAGGCAGAACGAAAGTAGATATTCATACTCTCATTTCACTTGCACGTTTTTGACAATTCAAATGTGAATAATTACTTTATAATACTTATCAATAAACTTACGACAATCTGTGCCACGCACCAACTCCACCTAAAACAGGATCACTTTGTGATTTCGCGTAAATTGTGACAATGCAGTAATAGCATGATATTTTTCGAAAATAATACACACCTGACTGACCACGATTAATAAGTAAATAGTGCTTAATATCGTAAACATTTCAATATGCATGTTGGACACTGCACTCACTCATAGCCACTACCACCGCACTGTTTTCTGCAACCGATGTTTGCTTATTTACGCTCTACACGGATTTAAAACGCAGAAATTATCCACGCGATAATATCCTTGTAAATTTAACACGCTGAAGGTTATAAATTTTCTCGTGAACATTAGAACTATAATTTTGAAATGACATAATTAAATCAAATTGCTCTCCATTACCCAGCTTTTGGTTTGATCTCAAACAATTTTAATAACAACGGTGCGTTTTTTTCCACCTGAGTATTTCGGTGTATTTCAAAAGTCGTAAACTTATCGAATCGGTTCTCGATTCAATTTGTTTCTGTGGCCAATTTACCTATGTTCTTATCGCCAAACCGATACGTTTTCCTATAGTCAACAATGAGTTTTTTTCTTATTAAAACGTTATGCATCGAAAACGAATATAAAGTAAATCAAGTTAAATTGATTCTTCACCAAGACAGGCTAGGATTGTTTTTTTTTTGAGTAAAATAATACCAAGTTTTTCTATTTTTATTGTCCATCTTACAAAATGGTGGATACTTAAAATTATACACAGTACTCTCCATCTTCAGTTTTCTGCTTGATCCACGAAGTGTACTTCTCCACGATTGTGTAGACACCTATAAAAATACATACATAAATTCATAAATTATTTTGTATAAAGTTAAATAAAAATATTTACTAATAAAAGTTTCAAACACAAATTACCTGGATAATCTGGCATGGCACAGTCGATACCCCAGGATACAATGCCTAAAAAGTAAATTTATTATTATCTTATCTATGAGCACAATAATAAAACAACGACAAGGCTTTAAAGGCAATAGACAACATTAGATTTTAGGGAACATACCAACTTGATACCACTTTTTGTTGAATGATCTCCTGTGAGTTGAAAACAATGGTCCACCGCTGTCTCCCTAAAATGCCAAATTCGTTAAAATAATGTAAGTACCGACTGTTATTTCATTTGCTAAGATTTATCTCTCAGAATTCTATCTTATAAAATCTAATCAAATTATTACCTGACACGCGTCTTTCCCTAGACTGTAAGCGCACATCATAGTTTCACTGACCAGATTGTCCCTGTATATTGTCGACTTTTTACATGTTTCACTATCCACAATCTGAACTTTGGTTTCAAGCAAATATCTTGAGGATGTCAATGCACCCTGTCTGGTCTTGCCCCACCCAGCTACAGTCAAAGGCAAGTTTCTAAAGTCCATAGCTGAAATGACGTAATTAATTTATTAATGGAACGAGTTAAAAATAACATAGCGATTGAAAATGAACAAATATATCTACTTTTATTTAAACTTACAATCCTCCGGCAGACAAATCGGTCGAACTTTCTCCGACCACTTAAGTCGTTTGTCAAGAGTCAAGACTGCGATGTCATTAATATCTCTAACAGCATTGGAGGTAAAATGAGGGTGTTTTACACCGTTGTGAACGCGTAGAGTAAGATATGAAGCGTCGAGTCGATCATGCATGCCCACGTAGACGGTCAGATCACGGTAATGTACACTGAAAGGAATCAAAGGAAGTTAAAAATATATATGGGATGAAAACGTCTTGATAAAAACTATAAAATATTCTAACCCAAAAGTGATGCAGTGTCCCGCTGTTAGTACGTGCAAATCTGTGATGATTGCCCCTCCACAGTGCAGCTTCGGCCCTAACATGAGCGACACCAACCATGGGTATGCGTGAGGTTGCACGGTGGTGCCGCCCACTATCCGCCGGTTATGGCCGGCGATACCGCACTCTATGAAAACAAAAAATAAGTTCCACAATCTCAGGATAACATAGTAAGTCACATATATCTAATAATGAAAGTAACATACCGCATGACGCGTTTACAATTTCTGCGTTTGCCTTGAAATAAAAATTAATAAATTAAATATCCATTTCATCTTCAATTGAGGAAATCGTTACGATTTCCCTTAAGCACTCGTCTATAAACATTTTAAACTTAATAAATGAAGAATCTCGTCTAATTTTCTCTGTAAATAATAATGTGAGATATATGAATAATGCCCTTAGAATAATTGTAAAGTAACTCACCCATCTGACTACCACACATAGTACGAACCATATTTTTATCATTTTATGGGCGTACCTAATACCAGGTAAACGGTTGGCAAAAATTCCATCATCATCGGCATCGGTGGAATGATTTCTTCGACAATAAATTGTAATAGAAAGTATATAAGAAATTAATTAAATTTCTGTTTGGGTATCGAAGTTCAATTGTGCGTAGTTTACGACGAAGAAATAATTGTGTTTTACTTTTTTACATACACATGCAACTCAGAACAATATCATAATACATAATAATTAAATTATTGATATGATTTACATTACATCACAATACTATGTAATGAAAAAAACAATATTCTTTTGGAAAAATTAAATAAAATACGAATCTTAACTCGCGCACAAAGTACCGTAACGTAAGCACGTTTGTTGTATAGCGACCTTATATTTATTTTATTTTTTAAATTTGTTTTTAAAAAAGAAATGCAACATCTGTCCAAATTGACTGCCGCACAGAACGACTCTTTGTGTGATCCACAAATTGTTGTTTCGGGTCTGGGTGTGATGTGCATGTGGAATTGTATGTTTGTAAATGCACCCACGATACAGGAGAAAATCCTAGTGTGGGGCAACGTTTATAAAAAAATCAATAATTTCGTCTATCTATCACGTTTACTTAGATACAGCCGAGTGACAGACAGATAGACTGTGTAGTACTTATGAGTAATAGGATTCTAGTTTTAATTCTTTATGGTACATAGGTAACAATTAAAAAGTATTTCGCAACAACACGTAATTTTTATTCAAAGAAAATCTATAATTAAAATGGGATGGTTTTATAACTCAGCTGAACTCTTTTTTATAGTTAATACTAGCAGACCCAGCCACGCGTTGCTGTAGCTAAGGTAAATAACATGGTGACTGAATATTGAGATGTAAGCTATCCTATCTTTCAAAATGGATCAAAATGCACACGGAATGCAAATCAAATTTATAATCGGTTTAGTAGTTTAAGGGTCCATCGCGGACAAACACGTGACACGAAATTGTTATATATAAAGATTAACACTAACAACATTTAAAATAGCAAGCTTAAACTTCATCTATTACTATTCCTGAACTGACTAAGATCAGCAGTAACAAAAATCCTTACAACTTACAAAGAAAAGAAAAACTATTTTAAGATTTATGTAATAACACTTACGAAACTTCGTCCTTGAAAACTATGCAACCATTAGTTGCATTGCTTTGAGAGAACAGCTTATAAAAGAAGGGTCTTTCTGGCATTTCACTATTAAAAATGAAAGAAAAATACTATCAAGACCGCAGTAAAACCACAAAACATATTGGAAATATAGATGAGATACTTACAATAAAATATATAGGAACTGATTATTCGTACAAGCACCAAATCGTTTGGAGAAATGTGGTGGGATTTATTTTATTACACGCGTTTGCATTATGGGGTTTAGTTTTGATATTCACAGGAATAGCTTTATGGAAAACTAGTGTATGGGGTAAGTGACAAAATGTATGTTGTTATCTAATTGTAGACACTTAAAAATAGTAACTTTTTAATTCATAGGTCGGTGAACGGGCAGTGGATTACATACCTGATGGTAAGCAATCAGCGCCGCCCATGGACACTTGTAATATCAAACAAGTGCGTTGCCGGGCTCTTTTGGGTTATTAGGGATTCATCCTCAATTCTCAGTTTGAGGATGAGAAGGATTGGGCCTCCGGTATCCTCACCCACAGAAAATCCAACGTGAATTTTGCTTCATACCGGTTTTCTGTGAGGCCGTGGTATCAATCCGGTCATGCCGGCTCATTCGTGCCGAAGCATGGCTCTCCCACTGATTACCTCTTACCATGTTGGCGATACGTACTTTTTTAACATACATATTTTATCGTATACAATTTCAGGATTATGCATTTTATACATCGGCTCAGAAGGCGTTACCATTGGAGCTCATAGATGCTACGCTCACAGATCCTTCAAAGCCACGCCTCTTCTGAGAGCAGTCATGGTCATCACACAGACCCTTGCGGGGCAGGTAAACAAATATAAATTGTGATATTTAATTAACGGAAAATGAAACAGCACCTAATGGCTTTCTTTTCATTCCCGAAAGTCTGTAGATATAGGACCTTAGATCCTAGTGTGTGCTCAAATGTATACAGAGATTAATTTTATTCCATTGTTATTATGATAAGGTACTAGGTCTGTTTCACTTTCCTTTAAATACTTACTCAGTAAACTTAACCTACAGATTATTGAAACAAGGCCAGTTTCATTCATCATCATCAGCCTATAAGTGCCCACTGCTAAGCAAAGGCCTCTTCTCACACGGAGAAGGTTAGAGCATTAATCACCACGCTTGCTCATGCGGATTGGCGATTTCAAACTTATAACTAGAAATTATAAGTCCAGGTTTCCTCACGATGTTTACCTTCACCGTTTGTCAGTGGTGTCTAAATAATCATAGAAAGTACATATAACTCGGAAAAAGTCACATTGGTAGGTACTTGCCAGGTTTCGAACCCACATCCTCATGCATGAGAAGCGGGCGCATTAACCTTTGGGCCACCACCACATTAGGCCAAGGCCAGTTTAGTGTCAATTAATATCAGTTTTCTTCGCGACCTTTCTTATAAAATATGATTCGATCCACAAAAAATATATTTAATCTTAACCTAGAGAACATAAGGACATCTAAATAATCAAAGAATCTGAATTTGCTTTTATAAAAGTGAATATTGTGTAAGTGCGGTTTGTGGTTCTTTATACCTAACTGGGATTTCATTGCGTCAAGTTATTATTGCAACACAATAATGTTACACAAGATTTATTTTTGCAAAGTTGTTTATTGTTGATGTTCTTTTACATTTCTTCTACCTAATTGAAAGTTTAGAACTTTTGTTCTTTGTCAGAGACAGGCTCTGACTCACACTTGTGACTCTGACTGTAGAAGACAGTCACTTGTGTCATTTAATATCAGTAAAATCTGATGGTCATTCAATGTCGATCCCAACAATCTATTTGGGTTAGGTCCAGGAGAAAAAATAGCTGAAAAGCTTCTATACACAAATTTAATCCTGGAAAAGGATATTCCCAAAATTAACATTTGTTCATATTTTACGACTCTACATTTTTTATGAATATTTTTTTATCTTTCGTGTGCCCAAACTTACCCCTCCCTAATGCCTTAATTTATAAATATTTTTTTTGCTTTCGGATGACCAACGATTCCCCTACCTCATCCTTTAAAATATTCCTGAATTTCCGAAAACGAAATTCCAAAAAGGGCGGCTACCAACTCATAACTCCTCTGGTGTTGCGGGTGTTAATAGACGGGTCCGATTACTTACCATCAAGTCATATGTCTGCTCGTTTGCCGGGCGTAGGTATTACATAAAATATTGATTGATGATGATTGTTTTGCTTTCCTAGAATTCTGTGTATACTTGGTGTCGTGATCACCGGCTCCATCATCGTTACTCCGACACGGATGCCGATCCTCACAACTCAAAGCGTAGCTTCTTCTTCTGCCATATCGGCTGGCTCATGCATAAGAAACATCCGTATGTTAAAAAATTTGGCAAGATTATCGACTTGAGCGACTTGCAAAACGATTGGATGGTGATGTTTCAGAAAAAGTAATTTAGAATTCATCAAATAATTTAGATAAATTTAATATTATAGACCAGTCAATCTATAAGTACATTCCAATTTGCTTTACTTAATTCTTTTTTCGGTAGCTCTCATTGTTTCAAAGATATACGCAAAAACGCAAATTTGTGACCTTCGACCGAGAATAAAAAACAACGCACAAGCGAGGTCGGTGGGACTTTTGACATATCATTTGTAATGACGTAGGTACTTATTTAAGGCCTGCACAAAAATCAAGCTTGTTGGGCATTAAGGCAAACTGGAATCATAATTTTATATATTTTGACTGGTCTAATATATAACAAAAAAATCCCTTAATTTCTATCATATATTTCAGGTATTACAAAATCTTGTACCCGATATTGGCAATATTATTCCCAGTCTGGGTCCCAGTGCGTTACTTCGGTGAGACTTGGTGGAACTCTTTATTAGTCAGTTACTTTGCTCGCTACGTATGTCAGTTGCATGGTACCTGGTGTGTCAATAGTGTTGCACACCTCTACGGCACAAGACCATATGATAAGTAAGCCAATTTATTGTGTCTTTGACAAAACACGCATGCATCGGTACTTCATCAGTTGTGGAAAACTAAACTTATACTTGCTTAAAATGATTCACCTAAACTTGGATCGAAGTCAGAACTTCAAATTCGTTTAATCTTTTTTGCATGAATGCATCGAGTAGCAAAAAAATCTTTACCATCACCTTTATTGCACACAGATCACGTATTGTTCTTTGATAAATTTATAAAAAAATAGCTACAATTTGTTTCTCAGAACACCATATATTTTTGCAGAAATTTACAAGCTGTGGAATCATGGTTTGTGTCCTTTTTAAGTCTAGGCGAGGGTTGGCACAACTACCACCACGCGTTCCCCTGGGACTACAAAGCGGCTGAGTTGTCAATGCACTTCAATCTGTCTGCCAGTATCATACGATTCTTTGAAAGGATTGGATTGGCTTATCATTTAAAATCTGCATCTGCTCATATAGTAAGTGCTTATTGCCGAAAGAGTCATATAATTTAAGATTAACGAAACAAATGTTATTTTTCTCAATTCTCTTCATGTAATACCAAACTACTGCTCATTTAGAGACATTTTTTTTATTAGGTATTAAACAAATTTTCACACATAAGTATCAAAAACGGAAACTGCTAAGCTGCGGCAAAAAACTTAATCGGAAAGGAAAGGAATAAAACTTCAACAGATTTTACGGAACAGACACGTTTTTATTGTTATTTTAGGTTGCTAGCCGTATAAAAAGAACAGGTGACGGCACTCACCACAAGATGGGCACAGAAGAAGCACGCACGGCAGTGACAGCGTGGGGTCCATTGCACCCACTCAACCCGACCTACACCACCACACTCAAGACCCCAGACGCCATTCTCAAACCCGAAGAACCATCACTCTACCAATGAATAATTGATCAACACTAACACTTGAAATGATAATATGAATATTTTATTTTTATAAACTCATATACTTACGTAGTTTTTTGTAGAGGATAGAAAATCATCAACTGACATCTCCCGCCCTTAGTTGGGCAAGACAGAATGTCAGACTCTTCAGATCATCAGACAAAATCCTCCCCGTTCTTTTTCCTGCTCCAGACCGATATCAGTAAATTATTTAATTATAATCATAATCATAATTCTTTATTGCATCCACAATGTAAGGTAAGATGGTAATATGAATAATATGTATAGTAACAATCATGGACCCTGATGGGCACAGCAAACATTAAATTAGAAGAGAGGCAGACGTTGTTTTATATAGAATTATGCTCAAGTACCTATTTCAAATTCTAAGTATGTATAGTATTGCTATTATGTTTATATTTTAATAGGTATTTAGATATTCATATATATTTTTTTGTATTTTTTACATTATATTGTAAGGTTATCCGTAAAAAGTAAAAAGTCCATCTCACTTTGACCTCTAAACATACGAATTGTTCAAGTGTGTCGTTTTTGAAAATCGAATTTTATTTAGGTACCTAACCTATCTACACCACTTAACTTATATCATTGACATTATGGAACTAATAATTAGATATTCGCAGTCCAGTTACCGAGTTCAGTTTTTATGAAAAATTGACCTTATCACCTAATAAGCAGCTTAACACATCTCCGAAACAAGGTACTGGGAGGCAAGGTCATTGCAATATTCAAATGGTTCCATTAAACCGAAATCTAGCTCAACGAACAATGTCAAACGTTATTAACATAGAACAACAATAGTTCAAGTTCTGAGTTCTATTGCAACAATGAATAAATTAACATTGCTTTGGGTTGAATGAATGTGTTTTTCCAAATACATATGTGTGTAGGAAACTATATGTACCTTAATCTGTTTTTTTCCTGTAGAGTTATGAGTTACATGAGATGAATGTTGGTAGCGTGTAAAAATATGATCCAGTGAAATAATATCTGACTTAATATCAAACGAATAAGAAATATGAAACATAATCTAAGAAAACGAATGAATCTAGAAAAAGCTAAACTTATGTTTCCTTTCAATCGTGGCAATTAATTCGAAACACAATACTTATAAGAACAATAGGTGCGCGACTGCCGGCGTTCTCTTAGGGTTTGATGAATTAAATGACTGAGTCACTAAAACAGTGAAACAAAATTACAGCTGACGAAGTATAGAAGAGTTTTTCGATAAATTGTTAACTAAATATGGGAATTTTAGTTAGAGAAAATGTATGCAGCTTCTTCTTCTATTCTAATCTGATCAATCTTATCAGCCATAAGCTACACGAGACAACAATGTAAGTATGTTGTAATACATTTTACATACAAAGAAGAGTTCAAGTTCGTTCAATTGCTCAAACATTATTGTCATCAAACAAGGTTTTCATTATACCTTTTATAAATAGTGTCCATAATTAATTGGATCAGTATCGAGTAGGCGAGTTGGGAGTAAGTGTCTTAAAAAAAATGACTGCAACAAACATGGAAACCAGAGCCCCTTCAAGCAATGATCTGAAGGATCTTTTAAAAGATAAAAATGCAAATAAAGAAGAAACCATGGAAATACCTAAAGTAATTGGAACAGATTATAGTTATAAGCATACGATTGTTTGGAAAAACGCTATAGGATTCTTGGTGATGCATATCCTTGCTCTATGGGGAGTTGGTCTTCTGTTCGCGGGATACATGTCATGGAAGACCATAGTATGGAGTAAGTCACTGAAATCTTTAATAAAAATTTCATATATTTTTCATCGTCTCTTCGAAGTATCTAATGTTAATTTACCATTTGTTTCAGTCTTCTTCATCACTTTTCTGGCTTCCGAAGGAATAACAATAGGAGCCCACCGTTTTTACACACACAAATCATTTAAAGCAACGCCATTCCTCAAAGCCGTCTTTATATTGTGTCAAACTATTGCTGGACAGGTACTATTTACATTATTTAATAATACATTTTAACTCCTGGTACTTCATAAACTCCTAGTAAACAGAAGCTTATAATTATTACAGTTTATTAAAATATTTTTACGCTCATTGTTGACGCTCCCTAAGAACGAGTTAGTTACCAAGCACACAATTCAATTTGAGTTTTAAGACATACCGGGTTCACAATAATCTACGAATAATCATGTGTCGTGTCATCGTATACTTTATTATTAATTTTCAGAACTCCATGTTCATCTGGTGTCGCGATCATCGTCTTCACCACCGATACTCCGACACTGACGGCGACCCTCACAACTCCAAGCGTGGTTTCTTCTTCTGTCACATTGGCTGGCTCATGCATAAGAAGCACCCCTACGTTGTTCAACTTGGCAGAAAGATTGACATGAGCGACTTGCAAGCTGATTGGATGGTGATGCTACAAAAGAAGTGTGTTCCAATTCTAACGTTATTTATATATGAATTAAGTCGTTGTTACTGTCTTCTGTGATTTACAAACTATATCAAGAAATTGATATGTCTCTAATACCTACGCACTAAGGGATCATAACAACTTATGGCTTAGAAACAATATTTATAAGAGTTTAAAGTAACGTAACCGTTAGATCACTAAAATTGTATTCCTTTTTCAGGTATTACTATCACCTATACTTCTTCTTAGCCTTCCTAATACCTGTGTGGGTACCAGTACATTTCTTCGGTGAATCCGTATTAAATTCCATCTTGGTTTGCTATTTCGCTCGCTACATGCTACAACTGAATGGAACTTGGCTGGTTAACAGTGCTGCTCACCTTTATGGAACAAGGCCTTATGATGCGTAAGTGTTTATGATATAATCACAGTGTTTCTAGCAAATCTAATCAACGTTTAACGTTTAACCCGTTCGCTGGTGAATACTTATTCGTAGACCTTCAGCTAGTGCGTATGAGGTCTTTTCGAGACAAAGTTAACGAACCATTGCGTTTGAGCCATTTACAGCCTCATTTTATTGTAACTTCGCTTTTTATGAGAAGCAAAATTATATGTATATTTGTCTCTGTTGTTCTCATTAAAATGTTAATTTGCCCCCCGCACAGAGTAAGAGAACTTGATTTTGACTCAACTACCGTCTGCGAGAAGCCACGCATGTGGTTTGTGCGACGACAAAACGCAGTGAACTTGTAAAATCTAAAATATTTACTCTTAATCGTCAAAATAATCTTTATGTTTCCAGAAAACTGCAGCCAGTAGAATCATGGTTCGTGTCAATGATAAGTCTGGGCGAGGGTTGGCACAACTACCACCACACGTTCCCCTGGGATTATAAGGCAGCTGAGTTGACCATGCACTTCAACCAATCAGCGAGCATTATCAGATTCTTCGAAAGGATTGGATTGGCCTACGATTTGAAAACTGCTTCACCTGAACTAGTAAGCTTTTTTGATTTTGATTTTACGCAACGACTTATAAAGGAACAAATTAGTCTTTACCTAACTTTTTTCTATTATTATGTCTTGTATTTTCAACTACATTTACATATGAATTTTAAAGATAAACAATAAAATTTGGCTAAAATGCAAACTCATGAGACAATTAGTTATCAAACGAACTTAATATCCTTAATAAACTATAGCATATCTTTATATATCTAATAATACAGTACCTGGTACTAGTAAATAATATAAAATGATAACATGCCGACTAAACTGACTTCATCCATATCCAAAAAACAGGTAACCAACAGGATCCTGAGGACAGGAGACGGCAGTCACTTCAAGATGGGCAATGAAGAAGCTCGCGCGGCAGTAACAGCCTGGGGTCCACTGCACCCACTCAACCCGACCTACAACACCACACTCAAAGCCCCAGATGCCATCCTCAAACCCGAAGGACTACCACTCTACCACGAAAAGGATACTCTCAACCTTACTGTTATACAGAAGAACTCGAGACGTGGTTGATCATCGTCAAGTATCAACTTGTGTCATACTATTCCTACTCGTGTTTCATAGTCAATTTATTTATTGTAATTAGTTAATGATTATTTTTTTGAATTTACATTTCGTTAAATATTTTATGCTAAGATTAAGTTTAAGCACTGATTAAATAAATATACGATTACGTTTTTACAAAATGTACTAAATATGTGTTTGATTGTTGACCATTGAAAGGATTATTTGACCATAGAGTATTTTCGCAAGGGAGATACAAAATATTTTTATTATGATATTCAAAAGTCGGTTCTATGTACATTCAAATAATACAGAACTTTATAATGAAAGTTTTCTTTCTAGAAATTAAGAGTAGTATGCTACCCTTACTTTCATTCTCTTTCGACTTCGATTTTTGAGAATTGGAACTCTTTACCCAATTCAAATGACCTGCTGTTCGTAATCAACAATTGAACATCACTATCCGTTCTATCTGACGAATATTATTTTTTTATACAAACCTTCGTGCTAGCAAAAACAAATGCGACAAAATAACGATTATCCAATTTGGTCTAGTATAGATCAGGCGCAAAGCTACATTTCGGAAATATTTTTGATACTCTTTGACGGAAACCTTTTGATCCATTCTGAAAGAAAGTTGGCATACTATTGGAAAATATAAATATTCAACATTCACTTATAAACTCTTAATATTATGTAAGTTTTATATTTGACAAGGAATAAAACATCACTAGCCGTAATAAACATTGAAACAATAGCTAGTTTTGAGACAGTATGGAGTTCGACGGCTCTGTTGTATTCGATTCGAATTTACAATTTGGAATGAGCACCTATCTTCACTGACGAACAGACTGACAGACTACTTTTCTATTTTGACGTTTCAAAAGTACCTATATATGGTTTAGTTGGAATAAATGATTTTGACTTTGACTTTGACTTTGGTGGCCAAACGCAATACTACGTTCTTGACCTGAAACAGGCGAAGAAACGGGATGGTTTTTAGTCAGTAAGAGTCTGACACTCCTTCTCGCCTCACCCTGTGTAAAAGAAGTCATTCAGATAATGGTTTTTCCCTCCTCAAAGAAAAATCTAATGGAATATCTGTATAAATCTGTGCAGATTAAAATCCGCATTATATACACAATATAATTCAATACCTATGGCTATAAAACTATTTCATTTATATAATTCTTTATGCTATAATAGATTATATATCCATATAATATAAAACCTTATTACTTTAAAAGCAATAAAGGTAACGAGCAAACAAATTGCTTAGAAAAGCAAATTACTTGAAATTGATTCTTCGACCCAATTTTTTCAATTAGTAACACACATTAGCCGTTTAGATACAAGTAAGCTGCTTATTGCAAATTAGGTGTGTATCAAAATTTATAATTGTCCTAAAAATACCTATACTCAGTAGATATTACAAATAGTATAAATGTACTTTGAATATAGGTTAGTCTTTTTATCAGGGGAAATTCATCAAATTTCTTCCCCCGCCCAGGGGAAGACGAGAGAATGTCAGACTCTTACTGACTAAAAACGCCCCCGTTCCTTCTCCAGCTTTGGGCCAAGGCCGCGGTACCACATTACGCTTACCCCGCGACCCCAGCTTGTATAGATAGGTGTGTGTGTATGTGTGTGTGTGTGTGTGTGTGTGTGTGTGTGTGTGTGTGTTTGTGTGTGTGTGTGTGTGTCTTGTCCAATCTCTTTAAAAGGGCTAAACGGTTTTGAGTGAAATTTTGTTGAGAAGCAAATTATGGCACAATATTTACTGCATCAAGCCCCAAGCGAACGCGGCGTTTGCGCACCTATTGTTCTTCTACTGTGACCCCAATTACCACAATTGAAAGGTTAATTATTTTATTTATATCAGAGGAACAGCTACTGGACAGTACATATATTATTGTCTTGTATTTCATTGTAATTTTTAATTCTTCTTTCTTATGTGTTAGGGCGGTAAACAAGCAGACTAATTACCTGATGGTAAGCAATCGGCACATTGGGTGTCCATGCGCCGATTAAACTGCAACACCAGAGGAATTACGAGTGTGGCTTTTAGTGGGCCGTGAGGGGAAGGATTGGGCTTCCTGTAACCTCTTTTGTAACGCTTGTTTCACGTCTGTTTTCTCTAAGGCCGTGGTATCACTCCAGTCGAGCCGACCTATTCGTGCCGAATTTGCCGAAGCATGGCTCTCCCACAGCCCACACTAAATATGTTTCTTAAAACATCACAGGTCAACATCAAAACAAACTTAAAAATAAGAGGTAAAAAGAAAGATTATATTCATTTATTCAACCATAAAATAATAATCTCAAATTAAAAATAAACAAAAACTTAGTCACTACAAAAACATCCAGAGGTGACTATGTTTCGGATCCAGTCAATATATTTCGTAACCCGAGTATAGACGCCTGGATATCCTGGCCGACCACATCCTATGCCCCAGGAGACCACACCTGTGAACCAAATAATTATTATCTATACTAATATTATAAAGAGGTAAAATTTTTAAGTTTGTATGTAGGGGGTAAACTTTGGAACCGCTGATCGGATTGCTAAAATTTGTTATAAAACATCACGTTACGATTAAATGGAGCCGAACAGCGGGACCGCGCGAGAGTAGCTAGTAGAATATATTTATATACATATTATGGATATGGAATATTTATCCACTTTCTATAATTATGCCTAGTTATCGAATCGAGACAAAACATTTTTACAGCTAGTTGCATATAAGTGCAAATTTCACATACACATTTTACATTTACACCCCAGAAAAATGTTAGATAAATAAAATATGTGGATCAACAGTTCTTCCGTACAAAAATCGACGCTTTGTGATTTATTGACATGGCTGGGTAGCCCTATGTACTAAGTATTAAAACGACCATAGTATACGTAGCGCTTCTCTTAAGACCTTCATATATATGTATAATTCCCGATAAACTATGTGGAATATAACTGCGTTCTTTTTCAATTTTATCTGGTAACTTGTAGTATTATAGAGCTGTACAGTTTGTTTGTTTTTTTGAACGAGCTAATCTCCAAAACTGCTGGTTTTGTGTTCGTTGTACCATTTATCGAGGAAGCCATATAGGTTATAAAACGTCACGCTACTTAGTAGTATTCTGGTTTCTTTATCTTAGGAAGTATTTTACCATTTTTCTGATGCTTACCCAGTTGTTCATGTCGTTTGTCACTTCTCTCAGCCGAAAGTGGGCCACCACTGTCTCCCTGAAATAAAAAAAACTGTTTTTAGATATGATTATAATTTTAAAGTTACATACATTTATGAGCACGAAGATTTACTTCTGTCCTACGCGAATAGTAAAAAAAAAAGATTTGGCTGTCCATGCCATACAATTATTTTATCGGCACTGTGCATAGTTTTATGATTCTTGAACATCTACTATTCTGTAATATTAAAAGTACCTGACAAGTATCCTTCTTCCCTACTTCTGGATATCCAGCGCACAGCATGCCATCGCCAATCATTTCTGAAGTATAGTTGGCATTCTTGCAAGCTTCGTTGCTTAATATTGGGAGGTCCACTTCTTGAAGGTAACAAGAGTGGTTCTTACCCTCAGCCACGGTACCCCAACCGGCGGCCATTGCTTTTACTCCTACGTATGTTTTGTCTGAAAATTAATTAACAAAGTTAGATAACGTTCCGGCTATATAACTCCACTGGTGTTGCGGGTGTCCAATGTCCATGGATGGCGTTAAACGTTTATAACTACTTTTCCGCCTTTCCCAAAATCCCACATAACACTATTAAGCCAACCAATTAAACAGTGTTCAAAAGTGTTTAATTGGTTGACTGCAATTATTACAACCTAAATCGTCGTTTTTAACTATGGATGGCTTTAGTTCCACTATAAAGCATATAAATATGTTCCTTTGTAATAAAACTTACAGGTCATCAATACATCAACGCTATTCTTTTTATTATTCAACTAGCTGGTCGCCCCCGCTTTGCACGGGTGTCTTGCTACTTCGCTAATGACGAAACGGACACATTTTTACCAATTTTCTCCTCTAGTTTTCTAATATCTTTTTTGATAAGAACCTTTTTCTGACAATAATAAATACAACAAAAAATAATTGGCAGAATTGGTCCAGAACTCGAGCCTTCAGAAAAATTTACTTTAAATACTGTTTTTATACTACCATCACTTCGAGGCAAACAGACAGGTTTTACACTATCCGTGACCTGCACTGCTTCGTTTAACTTGAGGACAGCGATGTCATCTCGAAATGTGGCGAAGCTGAAGTTATGGGACACCACTTGAACAACAAATCGGGTGACAGGACGATGTGTAGTGTTGCAACGGTTGTGCTCGCCTAAAGTCACTTTTATCATGAACCACATGAATCTGAAATATAAGAGTTAAAAGAAGAAGAAAATAAAATTGTAAAAGCATTTATTATTTATATTTTTTAAAATTCTAACTAACTAATATACTAAATTATATATTCCAATATATAGCTTATATTATAGCAGCAGTAAAATAATTCACATGAGAATTATTTAACTTCAGCACTTCATGGCAGCTGCAGCGCTACCCATAACCATGAGTCCCGATGTAGCTTGAAACTTGTAGAGTATTTCTCTAATAAGTCACATTATAAGTTCTATTCGTAATACTATAGAAAGTAATTACATTCATATTATGATATTAAAGGAAGGCAGTTAAAATATTCTATATTTTTTAAAACAAATTTAATGTCTGCTAATGAACAGCACCTGGTTCTAAAACTAACTGTCATTACGCAATTTGACTTACTATACGGCCGTCGTATCTTGGCGAGTCTGAAGTTAGCCGTTTGTCTGCGCAATGGATCTTTTAGGAACAAAATTGTGTACTGCGCAGCTAATCGGCTAACTTCAGACTCGCCAAGATACGTTGGCGGTACTGTAGATAGCTATTGAAAAAATAACTTCTAGTACCAGATGTAAGTCTTACATACGTCTTAACACAGTGAGCAGCAGTGAGCACGTATCTGTCATTGATGAGCGAAGCACCGCAGTAGAACTTGTTGTGCAGCGACAACCGGGCCACCCAGGGAAACTCGTTCACAGCCGTCTCCACACCGCCAACAATTCGTGAAGCTTCGTTCCTTTCTCCACAACCTGGGCACAGAATAAGTAATACAACAGCAACAATTTTGCCAAATTACGTTAGTTTCCAACTAGTCTAATTCAATAGTTTTATCCAACTGTCATAAACGACACTTTACTGAGTTATGACGTCATAGTATTTTAACGTGAAATTGCTTACTTATTTCTTAAAAAATAGATAAAAAATATCTAAAATTTTGTGTATCGATCGATTGATGAATCAAAAGTATACTTATTTTTCAATCTTTTATTGTATTGAAACGTCGAATTAATTTATTTTTGATCTAGGTAGGTAACTACCCAATTATGATGATGTAGAAATATACCGAAAAAAAACACAATGTAAAATATTTTATGTCATACGAAGGCAAACCAGCATGCTGATTACTTGATGGTAAGCAATCAGCGCCGCCAATGGACACATGCAATAACGGAGGAATTACGAGTGCGTTGCAGACCTTTTGAGGATTAGGGGTTTGGAGATCTTGAGATATGGGGACGGGAAGGATTTGTCCTCCGGTCCCACACGGCGAAACACAAAGCTGTAGTTGTTCTACGCCGGTTTTATATGAGAACCTGGTATTATTTCGGTCAAGACGACCTATTCATACTGTAACGTTGCAAGCTCTTCCACGCTTAAAACTCAATTTAAGTGTGGGAGAGCTTGCCATGTAGCATGCCAGTATAAGTAGTCAAAAATAAAACTTAAAAGATTATTAAAACCTGTCATTATCTAACCTCGTTACCTATTTTTCATATGCGCCACACATAACACTATCGGTCACGAGAAATTAAACCAAAAACTGTAATGAAACTATAACTCTTATCGTACATTAATCAAATGTCGAATACTTATGGCGTAATTAAATATACGTTTAAATAATGAATTTTCTAAGGCATGACTAAGAGTACTATTTGCTTTGCCAATGAATCATTGCTAAACTTTCTAACCCTTTTTTGTCAGGGGAAAATCATCAAATGACCTTTCCCGCCCAGAGTAAGGCGAGAGAGAGTGTCAGACCCCCTTATTCCTTTTCCTGTTTTAGGCCGAGGCTGCGGTGCCACATTGCGCTTACCTCGCAGCCCCGGCTGAACATTAGCCCTATAGGGCCCCGTCTGTGGTGGTCTATTGGCTCTTTGAGGGGGCACGGAACGCTACGCGCCGTACGCTCGAGTCTGGTTCTGGTCGGGCGGCGAGCTACCCTCACTCGCCGTCATCATCTCTCGATCTGCGACGCCTGAAATGTCGTCTACTGAGGCGAGTGTGAGGAGGATAGTTCCCTCAGGCGCGAAAAAGATTGCAGCAGCAGTTCCGCTTACGTACCGTTACATAAGCGGACTTACTTTGAAGATACCTACATTAAACAGTAAAAGAAGTATAAATAACTAACGACCCGCCCGGCTTCACGCAGGTGCAATGCTAATACTAAATTTGCCCTATGTTTAATTGATGGCATTATACATTATAAACCCTCCTCTTTTATCACTCAATCTAACAAAAAATCTGCATCCGTTGCGTAGTTTTAAAGATTCAAGCATACAAAGACACAGAGACAAAGTTATGCTTCGGGAAAGGTGGGTGGACCGGAGTGAGACTACGGCTTCACAGAAAACCGGCGTGAAACAACCACAGCGTTGTCTTTCGCCGTGTGATTAAGGATACCGGATGCCCAGACTTTCGCCTTTCTCAATCCCCCATCTCCAAAAGGTTGGCAACGCTCTCGTAACTTCTCCCTTATTGCGGGTGTCCATGGGCGGCGCTGATTGCTTACCATTAGGTAATCTGTCGGCTCTTTCACCATCTTTTATACTATGTAGATTGTAATGATACTTACGACAACTGCATTTCCGTGCGTACTCGGTAGGTTCGGGCTCTGGTTCAGTCACAGACTCAGGTTCAATCACAGGTTCCATCGTAGTCTCAGTAACGGGTTCGGTATCATTCTCTGCTCTCACCTTGAATCATTATATTTAATGGGCAATTTCTAGGGACACACGCGTGATGGCTGGGTACGATTCCCGCACGGAGCAACTCTTTGTGTGATCCACGAATTGTTGTTCCGGGTCTGGGTGTGATTTGTATGTTTCTAAGCGCACCCACAACACAAAGTCCTAGTGTGCGGCAAAGTTTATTAAAAGTGATTTAGTGATTATTTCTGTGATTGTCGATCTACTCAGTAATAGGTAGGTACTATGTATTACGTACTTTTTCGTCATTATAAATTTTGACCATGGTTTTGACTGTAACATAATTTATAATCTGAACCATATAAAATGGTTCTTCATAACATTACAAGTTTTAAGACGTTATTTTGTGTAGGTACCGTTTCTTTAGCTTATTTTTTATTTTACAACAATCACGCATGGACTACGTTTACATATTAAAATTTTTTCAACATAAGTACAATATCACAAAACTTTATACATATGTATAAGAACAATACAATAACCGCGCCCTGTAGGTACTTACCATGACATTCGCGCACACTCCAATTATAATCACAAACACAATCTTCCACATAGTGTAAAAACCCAATTTTCAGCAAAAAATCCACTTATAAATAGAATTTTTTAAGATTTGTAAAAGTATTTTCGCAATATCAGGCTAGACGTGCATTTCCCACAACGGGATGCTATACACAGGAATGAGGACGATGTACTCCATCGAACCAGAGCCATAAACTTGAACTTGTATTCAGTATATACCAAGGCATCTACATCATACCGGTACACAGATCTAGACCAAAGCCGTTTCCGTGTCCCATTTCATTAACCATCGCACTATCACTTCGTACTAACAACAAAGTAAACTTTGATTAACAGCAATGTGTTTAAAAACTTGCGAAGTTTACATAAGAATTTGCAACAGATTTGTTGTTCAAATATTATCATATAATTCAAACCAAACATGTTCATTGAATACTTTCATTTAGCTATACCGTTATCTGCGCAGACGCATTGTACTTAAACATGATGTCATCCCAACAAAACACTACACCTCGGCTATAAAGTAAAAAAAAACAATAAAGAACCGTTGGTATAGCAACAAACATTTAATTAAATATTTAAATTAACTATCACACTTCGGAAATATGATGAATAGGTATGTATTTACGACTGTAACTGTCCTGTCAAAAAAAAGGTGCTAACAAAAATAAAATAAAACTGCACGGTAATAAAACATAGTTTATTGCATTTCGCTGTCATCTTAGACATAAACCAACAGCGAACTTCGAAAAGAGGTTCTATTATTGAAAAAATAAAAGAACATATTATCATAAATACTTATATATTTTTATACGAACACTGGCGATCACCCGCGGCTCTTTTCAAGATTTTTTTTTAATTTTCTTAACGTACAAACCTTTTCTGGACTTACACGAATCATTTCTTTAACTCATGAAGTTCCTTGCTCGTTCTTCTCGTCAGTAGTCTGTCAAACAGACTACTTTTCTATTTTGACGTTTCAAAAGTACCTATTTATGGTTTACTTGGAATAAATGATTTTGACTTTGAATTCAAGATCAAAATTAGCAAAATTGGTAAAGGCATTGTTGGGTTATAACATTACAATGAAAAGTGATATAGATTTTTATATATTTAAAGACAAAGCTTCCACTATAATAATATGGCTTTATAAGAAAAACTCGTTTATTGGCACATTGATAGATTTAGTATACTAAGAAAGTCCTTCTAATAAAATATATTCTAAGCTCTACACAATTAATATCAAAAATCATTACGATTGGTTGTTTATTTTCTCCATTACTAAACAATACACTATCACGTATTTAATAGATTCGAAGTAGTCAAATTCAATACTCCTTCCGAAATCCCTTCAAATTAAGCAAAAATAATACATAATTTTATATTTCTTTTGAATTATCTCAATAATATTATTAAGTTTATCACAAAATTTAAAATAAAGGTTTCTAAGGAAGTACTTTTACGGTTTTATATAGTCTTTTTTTAATATGTAACCAATTCTATTCCTCAAATACATACACGTATTAGTTAAAACTGATATTCTTAATTAGTCATTTCCTAAACTACCTCTACAACATAAAAATAAGTATCTTCAATATTTGCAATAGCAACCTTCTTGTGTATTGTCTCTGATCCAGTCCAAGTACTTCGTGACTCTCGTATACACTCCAGGATAGCCTTTCCTGGCACATCCATAACCCCATGACACTACTCCTGTAAAAACATTAATGAATTGTATTAATTAATAATGACTAGTTTATATATATATTTAACTAGCTATAGCACGCGCCTTCCATCCTATGTTTTAATCCAGGATATCACCTATCTACATGCCAAATTTCAACCAAGTTGAAACCCTGGTGGCCCTCAGAAGTCATTTATGGGACAAGTTATGAAGGATACCTGCTAAAGAAACTGCCTTTCACATATGCCTACACAATACATACCTACTGACTCCCTGAACTTCTTTGCAATTATACTTTCTTCCAAGTATATCACATAGTCAAATTTTTCTTTGTAAGAGTTCACTAAAAACTCTGTTGGAAAATAACGCGAAAATCTCTAACTACCAATCTCAAAAATCTAATATAAGAGGCTAATCTATTAATATAATATAAAAATAGTCAGAGCTAATCACAAATCCTTTCAAAAAGAATAATGTATCTGTCACGTTTTAAATAAACAAATTTACCTACCTATCAAATCGTACATGTGATCTTCATTTTCCGTGATCAACGGTCCTCCACTGTCACCCTGGAAACAAATGACGACGATATTGAAACAGCAGAATAATTCTGGTTTGGTAATTTTATTTCGTACTAGCGGCCCACGCTTGCTTTGCATGGGTAACCAACTAATTTGTCAGTTAGTAGGTACTGCCCGATTATCTCCTCTAATTTTCTTTCGTAAAAGCCTTCTACTGGCAATAACAAAATAACGAAAACATAATTGGCAAAATTGGTCCAAGCATTGTTGAGTTACGCTCTTAGATACGAACATATTTTGTATTTTTTTATAAATAAAGATAAAAATAGTTTGAATGTAGAAAAAAGCCAGATATGGAGATTCCAAATTTAAATAATCTGATTTTAAATTGTAATTTTTAATCGAAAATAGTTGGCTCTCTATTGCAAGCGAGATAATGTAATTGGCGGAAAGTGTAACCACCATAAGAAGCACTCCGCCCACAGTAAAAACACTTAATGTAATGTGTATTTTATGGTTACAGACATAAGTCACAATTTTCTTGTTTAATATTTCCACTTACAGTGCAAGCATCCTTGTGCGCGGTCTCAGGGAATCCAGCGCACATCATAACCTCCTTAATCTTGGTGGCATTGTAATTAGTGTTGCGACAGGCCTCATTGCTCAACACCGGTAACTCAGCCTCCCGCACGGTGCACGACCACTTGCCTGTCTCGTTCATTGCTCCCCATCCCGCCACTATCGCTGTTTTACTTGTGTATGTATTATCTGAAATCGATTGAAAGTCACGAACTTGTTTAAGCGTTATTAAATTGATTAGTTCATCAAAGTAATGTTAAAGTTTAAATTATGGCTGCACGGTTGGCACGATGACTGGGAAACTGCCTGCCGCGCAACGTGTCGTGGATTCCCGTACGTTGTTGTATGGTGTTTCTTGGTCTGAGAGTGATGTGTATGTGAAATGATATGTTTGTAACGACACAACACAGGAGAAAATCTTAGTGTGAGGTAAATTATCGTAGTAATTTAAAAAAATAAAATAAAATAAAAAATGTCTGGTACTATCAATACTTTGTTTATGTTACCTACTATAGATATCCAAATGAAAACCTTTGCAAAAAGTTTATTGAAAATAACGACTTACGTGAATTAATTAACTGAGAAAAGCTCTACTAGTTTCAAGTCACAACGGAACTCTTATAAGTGTGCAGCGTCCCGTCGACGTCACGTGAATAAGTCGTTTTTCAATTCTGGAATGTCTAACGATTGGTACTTTGCTACAAGTCTTTTCATAAGAGCAGGACTTCAAACTATGTATTCACTTTTTAAAAATCATTCAACCGTACACGACGACGGTATTCCATTTTTGAAATAATATAAGCAATAAGTTTATTGCAACAAACTAACAAACATGCATTTGTATTCAAATGTCACATACTGAAATCCTCAGCAATATTTTAAATATGAAAATCGAACAAGAGCTTTTATAACGGTCATTACAAAAAAAATCACATTCTGAACGTCAGTATTTTTAAAATTGAATTTTATTTCAAAATTAATTTATTTATTGTGCCCTTAATAGTCATTTTGGTTATAGCATGTTGTAAAACGGACCTCCGAAATAAAGGGGTACAGTCTCATAAATGTCTTCGTCAAGAAGTAATAAAGAATGAATATGGAAACGTATACTAACGAAATGAAGCTGTGTCGCTAATTTATGTGAACTGCAGACCTTTAAAATTATTTCCAATAAAAGAGATGCCAAATCTCTTGCAACTTTAAAATACTGCACGATATTCTTAAAATTAATTAGATTAAAGTCTCAAAAGAAATTTCGTGATTCTTATCTCCGTTTTTGGTGTGAACGAATTCCTTTTAATTATTATTATTATTATTATACTTTATTGCACACACATACATTTATAAAAATACAATTAAAAAATAAAAATATGTACAAAGGCGAGCTTAACCCAGAGTTGGGTTCTCTAACAGCAAACCTTAGAGCGATAGAGAGATTGGATATGGAAGGGTAAAGTCATAAGTGCGCAACAACACATTACTGAGAAAATATAAACACTATAACAATATATAAAGACAATAAATATATATAATATAATAAAGCTACACAATATATAAACATAATACATAAAAATACAATATACACATATATAAATACATACATATATAGTCATGTTGACAGTAAATGTTCCCTGGTTCGTTCCTTGAAAACATCTAACGATGAGCTCTCGCGTATAGTGTGAGGGAGAGAATTCCAAAGCCTCCCAGCACGAACAGTGAAGGATCCATCATAACGGCTCGAAGTATGAGGAGGGACACGAAGAAGAAGAGATGAAGAGGAGCGACAGGGTTTGCCTCTAGGAACGAGGAATTCAAAGCGTTCCCGAAGATAGCTTGGTGAGTAGGGATTGTGGAGAAGAGAGTAGAGGAAAGAGAGAATGTGAGCATCTCGACGCTTTCGAATAGGCAGCCACTTCAGACGACTCCGAAATTCTGACACATGGTCGTATTTCCGAAGGCCGAAAATGAAGCGGATGCACAGATTCTGCAAACGTTCGAGTTTGTCAAGAAGTTCCTCAGTCGCATCAAGGAAGCAGACATCAGCATAATCTAGTAAAGGGAGAAGGAGCGACTGAGCAAGAGTAATTTTTGTTGAAAAAGGCAGGAACTTCTGGAGACGTTTGAGTGACTGAAACGAGTGAAACACCCTCCTGCTTACTTCTGCAATGTGTAGACCCCAGGACAAATGACAATCCATTAGGACACCCAAGTTCTTGACATAAGTAGTATATGATATGGCAACGTTATCGTATAAGACTGGTGGAGGAGACTGCAGTTTATTAAGAAAATATCTGCCACCAACAATGAGAGCTTGCGATTTGGTAGGATTTACTAATAGTCCAAAACTTTTAGCCCATTTACTTATGTTTCCAAGATCATTATTGATGGCATCAATTGCTCTAGGAAGCTCTTCGAGTTTACAGTGTTGATATAGCTGCAAGTCGTCTGCATAAAGGTGGTAGCTTGAAACAAGTATCTTAGTGATAGCGTTAATAAAAACGGAGAAAAGTAGCGGAGAGAGGACGCCACCCTGAGGAACACCCGCAGACAGGTCGCACCAATCAGATGAAACATCATCAGAGCGGACCGACTGCGAGCGACCTCGAAGATAAGAATTGAACCATGCAGTTGCAGAAGGAGATACATTTAGTGAGGATAGGATACCGAGGAGGATGTCAAAGTCAACTGAGTTAAAAGCACTGCTAAAGTCCAGCAACACCATTATCGTCAAAAGCCTATTCTCCATGGCCAGTCGGATGTCATCGGTTATTTTAACCAGTGCCGACACTGTGCTATGACCAGGGCGAAAACCAGATTGGTATGGACTTAGCAAGCTGTTAGAGGAGAGGTAATGAGACAGTTGACTGTTGACAACACTCTCGAGGACTTTAGATAGGATAGGAAGTATGGATATGGGACGAAACTCAGAAAGTGAGGACGGATTGGAGACTTTGGGTAATGGCAACACATGAGCTTTTTTCCAAGCTGATGGAAAGGAGCCAGTGTAAAGGGAATAATTGACAAGATGGAGAATTACAGGAACAAGTATATTAAGGATGGAAAGAAGCATCTGTAGATGAAGACCATCGTCCCCTACAGCTTTTGTGGAAATGTTTAGGATGGCACGCTTAATATCTCCCTCTGTAGCCGGGCGGAAAGAGAACGACGTACAGTTTGGCAAAGAAAGATTGGAGAGATAATCGAGAGTCGACGATTTAACGTTGTCATCCAGCGTTACTGGCGACTTCGAGAAATGGTCATTAAGTGTGTTTAGATTGATATCGGGAGCGCTATCATTAGCAACCTTGCCGATACCAAAAGACTTTAAGAACTGCCATACTTTTTAATTAGTTAGTATTCGAGTTTATACCAGTTACACGTTTATATAAAGGTACCACTTATTTGAAAGGCTATATATGTATATGGTAGGTATATGTAAATCCGTGTTTTTTATGTTCTTGAAGTTTCTAATCTGGTGTTAAATCAGTGTCAAAATTTAAGTCGTTTTAAGATCTTTCAATCTTTCACGTCATGTTTCGTGGCTATTTTTAATTAAGTAGGTAGTGCATTCCAATTTTACTTCAAGAAATCGACTCTAGATGCCTCAACATCATCATGATGCAGATATCTTTAAACCTTCTGGTATAATCTACCGCAGTCCAGTCACAAATACCATATTTCTGGCTCTGGCTTTTATTTTATCCGATAGCTTCTCCCGTCCAGGGTGAGGCGAGAGTGACTGTCAGACTCTTACTGAATAAAAACCACCCCGTTCCGCTCCGGGCTGGCGTTCTGCTCCGGGCTGGAGAAGATAGCCAGTACGCAGTACAACATCGCTTGAACACGCGTATCCGACTGAACTTAGCTGACATGAAAAGCATCTTTGATTAAATTAATATACAGATGTACGAAATAGACACAGCTAAAGGTTCTCTTATTTTAGGAAAGACTAGCTATTCTCACGCGGATTCACCCGCTGCCCGGCTCCATTTCATCGTAGCGTGATGTTTTATAGCCTATAGCACTCAGGAACATTGTAGCTATCTATCAGTAAAATAATTTTGGCAATCCGACCAGCGGTTCCAAAGATTACCCCCTACATACAAACTTACAAATACCTCTTTATAATATTAGTATAAGTATAGAAGTATAGATTACAATGTCTTCTATATCCTTACCATCAGTCGCAGGCAGGCACACAGGTCTTATAGCATGGGTGTACTCCACAGGCTTGTTGAGCATCAGCAGGGCGATGTCATTGCTAAGGTCCGACAGAGTGAAGTTGTGAGCGATCACCTTCACCACGTACCGTGTCAATGCTGCCTGCTGGCTCTTGTCACATCGGTCGTGTTCACCGAACTTAACACGGAACAAGAACCACATGAACCTGAGAAATGCAAATTGATACATGTAATACTATGTCTTTGGCTACTTGAAATAAGAAAGAAAATTGGGTGAAGGAAGTTTTGTTAAAATTCACGTCACCAGCCTATACTGAGCAAAGGCTTCTTCTCACGTGAAGGAGTTTGAGTGGCGTTGTTGTTGAGTTGGCGATTTCAAACTTAGAAAAACAAATCATAAGGTCAGGTTTCCTCACGATGTTTTTCCTTCACCGTATATCAGTATTGTCTAAATAAACTTAGTAAGTTCCTACACATAACTTGGAAAAAGTCACATTAGTACTTCTCAGAATAAGAAACCACGGCCTCATGCATCGAAAGCACCTTAACCTCCGGGCCACCACGACATTCAGTTAAAATTCAGTTTATGTGTAAGCCAGTCACGAATACGAAATGACTTCTATTAAGTGTTGAAGTTTTTTTTTCTTTAGTGCAGTTTAATTTTAGAGCATATTGAGTTTACTAAGTCTTCTTTTCTCACCCTTTCATACAATGTGCAGCAGAAATGACAAATCTGTCATTGATGAGCGAAGCAGCACAACCAAAGGCCTTCTCGTAAATGAGACGACCCAACCAAGGGAAGGCGTTCACGTTGGATTCCATACCACCCACAACTCGAGGCTCCTCATTACGTTCTCCACAACCTGTCAGAGGAAAAATTTCATAGTTCATCAATCCAGGCCCAATCCGGTGTAGTATCAGCTCGCCCCCTGGATCTTGCCCCTTCCGATTAAAATGTTCCACTCGCCCCGTTTTTATTAATTCGGAGTTGTGGTTCGCCCCTTACGAAGACCCTTACGGGGCGAGTGAAAAATTTAACAATTAAATAATTATTTTGATACATCGACTCGCCCCTTGCGGCATTCCCTTTGAAATTTAACTAAAAAAGGTATATTCAGAAAAATGTACAGTAAACAAAACTGGTAAGTAATTTAACCACGTGTGATAGTTTTATTACCTGGCTTACCTACTGTAACAAAAGGGACCTTTTATGGGACCATTATTGAAGTTTTGAGAAAAACATTCATTTAAATATTTTATAGTGCTGACAGTACTTTTAACTAACCAACAATCGGGGGCGAGTTGGAGTATCTAATAATTTAAGGGGCGATTTGATGCACTTAGGCAATCAGGGGCGAGATCCAAGGGGCGAGCTGGGCCTACACCCCCAATCCTTCCCCTATCCCTATCCCTATCCCTAAACCTTCAAATCTCAAATCCCCAAAAGGTCAGCATATGTGATGTGGACGATAAACGAGCACACGAATTACCTGTTGGTAAGTAATCTGTGTCGCTCATGGATACCTGCGGATTCACAGAAGTCACAGGCGCGTTTCCGGCCCTTAAGGAAGCAGTACGCAAATTTCTTGAAGGTGGTATCGGTTCAAAAATACCGCCACCGGTCATTTTAAAGTTTGGTTGTACGGGGCAGAAAGTTTCGTGTAAATCTTACCTACTACTGGCGATCCCGTTGGAAGTAACTTTACTAGTCAAACCATATATCAATTTATATCTTTATTCCCTTTTTACCAATCATTACTACTTTTGTAATATCCATACTAGAGGATATTCTAGAGGCTCAAAACTTCAAAACTTGTAATAAGGTAGATAGGTTTAACCAATGTCAAATATGTATCACTAGCAACTTACTCACCTCTTATTGTTGTAACATGGTGTTTTATAAGCCTTTCCTGATAAAACTATGCAACACAACAATAATGTTTAAATCGAACCAGCAGTTCCGTAGATTAGCGCGCTCAGACTCTTGAAACTCATGATATTATCGTACAGAGTATAGGCTATTTTTTTCTTTATTCTGCTTTGAATAATAGTTAGCTATGTACCTTCTTCTAACGTTATAGGTCACACCTGTTTCTCGTTTCATTAACGTCCATTGAACTTGAATATCTGAAGTACTCTTAAACCTGTTACAACTAATACTACTTAGATTTAAAGTATTTACTTGCAAACACTAACGAGTGTATACTCTAAAAAAACTTAAGATACTTGTAAATGATCAATACGTACCTAGTATTTACAAATACTTTATCGTAAATATAAGTACTTAGGTTAAGCACTAGCATGCATTTATTGCACGCACATAATTTTTGTGTTCTTTTTAATAATATATTGCAATTTATTATTATTTAATAATATTAAATAATTTAAACTAAGTATTAATAACATGGTGATTCAGTTTTGGTTATTTTTTTAATATAGGACTAATGATAGGTATTTCTCAGCCGCAGATCATGTTGTACGACCCGAAAACTTTCGTATTAATTAATTTCATGTATTATAATTTCTCAGTAACATAAATATATTGTGTCTTTACGATTGCTTAAAGTTCTAAATTATTCTAAGAACACACCTAAGAAAAAAACAATGACTCACCATTGTATTTACCTACTTAAGCGGTTTTAAAAACAAGGAAATATGAATTTTGTACCAAACGCCAAGAACAAAAGTGAAAAATATTATCAGAATACTTAAAAAAATTAAACACAATGAAACAATTATAAAACAAACTTACCGCAGTCTTCACATGGTAAAATCTCTCTTTTAACATGATGGGATAGTCCAGGTCCTCGAAAAGACCCTTGTGAAATCACGAGATCATCCTAGGACAATTGACAGGTAAAACGATGTTAATACACGTTTCATAGACATGTGATAAAAAAAACATTGGAATCTCCAAAAAAGCAATAACGCAGATAGTCTTGCTCTGAATAGCTTTTTGGAATCTCTTTAGAGCGTAATATTTAGATAATTATAAGAACTAGAAGAAAAGATTGGGCTTCTAGTCTAAGTAATGGTCTCTTTTTAGAAAAGTTCGTTCTTTTAACTGTCATTTCGCTTGATAGTAAGCTATGATGCAGCCAGCTATGCAATGCACATAGAAAATCTATGTTTACACAATAATCACTGTTAGTAATTATATATTTATTTTATTTATATTTCAGTTCTGTCTAATAAAACCTAAACTTTTCACTGACTTCAAATGTTATAAACCACATTTACATAATGCAATCTTCTTGTCTGTGGCATACAATTAATTAAAGCAATTATAAATTTCTACAACTATGCATGCTCCTGTTTGTTCAAGAACATGGTATCGGGCAAATAAGCCCTTATTCTATTTTTTATCTCTATTTAACCTTCGAGGTAAAATTGATCATAGTAAAAGAGTTTAACGTTATAAAAGCTTTTGAAATAAAATGCAATATTTTATTTCCTTATCACTCAACAATAAAAATGACAATGCCTTTTAATTATCTATATATTTTTTTCTACTGTAATTAAGTTACGTACTTATGTATTATATTTATTTTTACGTATCTTTCTGTCTTAGTTTCAAATGAGTGACCTCGGCTTAGCGTTTAATTATCATATTAATGCAAACATTGATCTACATAACTTATTAGGCTTTACCGTTTAATCTTATACCTGTTTTAATTAATATTAGTCGAACTGAACCTGTCAGAATAATTGTATTATTTCAATACAGTTTTATGAATCACTATAGATATAGCTACTTCGCATACACATGGCATCGGAGACATTATGTAAATCAGGTCACCAATATGATACCTATTTAAAAAAACTCATTTGCGTAGGGGCAACACCGTTCGAAATTTAAATTTAAATATTGTCAAGTACAGTTATTCTACCTACCTTGGTGAGACTGAGCGGAGAGCTGCTAGTAAACACACATAGAAAACAAAATAGGTAACACAACCACATTTTTTTAATTTAATAATTAATTAAGTTTAAACCAACACAACACTTCAAGTTAAGTCCACAACTTAAATACGATACTCTCTTTAGAAAGTTGCATGTGCTTGGGGTTCAATGTTTTTGATACACTAAGTCATGTCTTCGATCCCGACGCACTTTATGGGTACAGAGACTTTAAAATGTTGCTTTTACGATACGAAAATAAAATCAACAAAACGAATTTTTCAACTCGTGCCAATGTTTTGGATAGCTGTCCGTTACTTCCCGCTAGCCATGTTGGAGTAGCGAGTCTTCCGTAAAATTGTTATAATACATTGGAGTTTTTGTTCGATATTCTAATGATGAGATGCGTCATTTTAGCGTTCCGAGGGCTGTGCGAATGAGCGTTTTATTTGGCAATGACCTCCGCGGTCATTGACATCGCACAGCAACCGACTCTTAACTATGTAATCATTTTGAGCCTTATATGCTTTAGTATAAGGGCGTAATTACCTGCATATTTTTGATGCGATTTTGTCGCAATACAAACCAATCGATATCTGGTTGCGTTCCCTTCGTATCAATAATATTGCATACAATTATGTGAACCATAAAGAGAGCCGAATCTTAATTCCGGCGACGAATATTAAACGACCCTTCGTATAAGTTATGGTTCCTAATTAATTGTTAAGAAGGAAATTTTGCATATTTTATCGTGTCATTGACTCTACTTACGTCACTGGAGTGTAAGAGGCACTGACTAACTCATATTTTTACACTTGAGCCTTACATTTTAATAATGGCATAGACGTTGGAGAGCATTCTTCGTTCAAAAATAGCTTTACTTCCTAAAAAACGTATGTAATACATAATATACAAAATAAAATTATGCAACGCGTTACGTCAAAAAATAACATTTCAGCTTTAAACGGAACCCTGAGTGTAATAATCCGAAACACACTTTGTGATATTTTAGTGAATTCACGTGCGAAATTCCGTGCATCTACCACATTTATCAAACACCCACACTACAGTTTTAGGCAAACATACAAAGCCGTATAACAGTAGTTTAATATTTGTATTTGATACGTTAGGATAACGATGTTCTCCTGACCCGGAGTGGAACTCCTGACCTAATAGGTTAAGATCAGAGTGAAAGTCTTCCAGCGCTTAACGATGCATGGGAGGCTTAATAAATATTCAATGACTGCTCAGTTTTAAAGTCAATACTTAGTTGTTTGGCAAAATGTCAAAATTTCAAAACATCTAAGTAGGTATATCCTTTTTTCCGTAGCTGTTACGATTGGCCGATACAAAATTGGTTTCGAAAGCTTAGCAGTGTAATACGCAGGATTGAAGACAATTATCATTAGATAACTTATGAATAGAGTTCAGTTTCTGAATTACAATTTATAGTTTCTCTCCTCCTATTAGGGCATCTAATAAAATAGGTCGAGTCATAATTTTTAACCTCGGTCTACTTTCGCTAGTAGGTATAATTCTATTTTCGGTCTAGCATACTTGGCGATAATATTTTCTTTGCCCATGCTTTCCAATCCTTTCTATTTGCATTATCTACATGGCTTCGGAAGGCAGCTATACCATTAAACCAACGATGGTCAACATTCACGTTAATGTTTAACTTGCGCCAAGCAAATATCAGCATTAATATTTGCCGTCTCATATGTGTTAGGCGTTTCGGCATATCTAATGGGCAAAGAACCTATTATTGCTGCAATCCTACGAAGGCTGGTCATCTCCTCAAATAATATTCCCTGATTTATTTCGCTGCAGGATTCAAGACAGTCATTCATGTCCCTAAGACGCGTCTGACTTCAGTGTTCCGGTGGTTATATCTATAGTAGGCCCTGGCTTACAGGCATTACAGCCGTTTTTGGAGGTTGCGGCGGGCTTGTCCCATAAAAAACTAAGCGCTCGAACACCTCAATAAAGGCGGTGAGGGCCTTACATAAGGGAATGGATACAGATGTTCCACGGTAAGCTTTCCTGTCTACTGGTACAGGTTCCTAGTAAAGATGGTTGTTCCGATTCTTATTTTTTTAAATTCCTGCATTGCTTACTTCGAGAGCTAACACCTGTCGGGATTGTGAGTGTGTGTAGTTAAGCTGGTGATCTGGCCAGCATGGATACAATATGGACGTGATCTTATAGGTGCTGTAGGTGCTGGATGCAATTGTAGTGGCCGCTATGATAGGCAGTGAGAATGCGTGGAACACCTACATTGTATTGCTAGAAGATAATGTTCGTATACATATAAGGCGGCTGAGAAGAAACAGAAAGGGCACTTGCTATTTACTAGCTTCTGCGGTGTACTGGTATATAAAGCGTTGTAATTATCAGAAACTTTTGGTTTTTTGCAACAATATGTTTGTTGTTATCATCATCATAAGCTAATAAGAGTCTACTCACCACTGGACTATTGGGCTCCACAATGTAAGAGCAGTTTGCCCTTGACGTACGAGTTAAAGATTGCAACTTGATGTATTTTTTGGCTTGGTCCTTATTCGGATTTTCTCCTATGTCAAGTGTGTTTAAAACGTACAAAATCAAATACACATCACACCTAATTCATGAACAGTCATGTCTAGATCAACAGATCAAAGAGATTTTTCGTGTAGGAATCGAACCTGCGAAGAAGTTTGAAATTCACATGTCGTGAGTCCAAATCAGTGGTGATATTTTTTCTTTTTGATGGCGGAAGATCATTTAATTTTGTTTCCCTTGCTGGGCGAGGCAAAAGAGTGTCAGATTCTTACTAAATAAAAACTACCCTGTTCCTTATCCGCCTCGGACCGGGGCCGTTACCACAGGCCCCATTATTTCATTTTATTTCATTATACATATATTTAATATATTATTTGTGTTATTGCGCTTGCACCTGCAATCCCGGCTGGACGCACACTTACCCTATGTATTTAGACTCATCTGTAGTGTTCTTATTTTTGTGCTACGCTCGGGTCTGGCTTTGATCAGGAGTCAAGCTAGCCTTGCTCGCTCGCCGCTTCTAAAGTGGCACGAGGTCTAGGATCGAGGCTCTCGCTGCGCACCATGGTATCGACTAATGCAGGATTTAAAAAAAAGTATATTTCGTTTCTGATGACTGTCCCTTGCAATGGAACTTACTTCTGTTCACCCAGTACAATTCCAACACCCCTGCTAACTCGTCCGTGATTAATGAGAAAATACAAAATACCCAAAAATATATTGACATCGTCTACGACAAGATATCTAGTGTTCTACTTCGTTGTCACATGTACACGACTTTTTTTTTTTTTTTTTGGTGTCGGGTTGGAAAATCCTCATGGAGACCCATCCCCTCGGGGAAGGGCGAAGGGTACTGTCAGACTCTTACTGACTAAAAACCAACCCGGTGTTCCTCCACTTACCCATGTGTCGGAGGGGCGGGTATCGCCGAAGCATTCGTCGCAACCCCCCGACGGGTGTTGGCCCGCCAGATGGTAAGGCGGGCCCCGTCACCCACTGCGGCCGTCACCCCGACCGCAGGACTCCACTATGAGGCGCGCGCGGAACACGGCGCCGCCGCCTCGAGGCCTGCTGCTGGTCGGACGACAAGACGCCCCGAGTCTGTTGTCCGCAGGCCGCGCCCTACGGTGGCCGACCTGCGGCCACCGTAGGTCGGCCACCCTACGACGTCTTGTGCGTCTGCTGCGGGAGGGAAGAGAGGAGGCAGCCTCTCTCTCCCTTTCCGCCGCCTCCTTTGCGAGCATCACGGCCTCGCAGAAGGTAGCGACGGTACTCCACCCTGATTCGCTCCCGACCATAGTAGACACTACAGCCGGAAGCGAGAGATTTCCCGCAGCACCTACGGCCGCGACCAGGTCACGACGCTGCTCGGCCCAAGCTGGGCACTCCGCCAAGGTGTGCAGCGCCGTATCGTCGCGGCAATCACCACAATGGTGGCACTGAGACGTCGGCTCCCGACCTATGCGACACAGGTACTTCCCGAAACACCCGTGTCCGGTAAGCACCTGCGTCAGCCGGAAGCTGTGGGCGCCGTGGCTCCTATTGAGCCACTCCTCTAGAACGGGCCTTACCGCCTCTATAGCGGCGTGCCCCGCCGTGGGTTGCGCTAAGCGCGGCTGCCACTCCGCCATTAAGGTCTGGCGGAGTTCTGCCCTGCGTGCCTCAACCTGTCGAGGCACCAGGCGCTCGCCCCGCTCGACTGCCTCCGCGCGCCACCAATAGAGCGACGCGAGGAGTTTTGCGTCGAGGTCCCAGGGCGGGGATACATGTACACGACTTGGATTCATACATATTATAATGTTATTAAATATTAATAGATGTCATATAAAAAAAAAACTAGTATTCAATTCGAGGTACTTTAATGGTCTAAAATTCGTACAAAAAGATAGGTTATGAACTAAGTTACCTATACTTAACATACTTACCACTAACGTCTTTGTTTAGGTAGAAAAAATCAGAACAAGCGCTTTTTTAAAAATAAATTGCAGCCACTTTTTATTGAACGCTGAAGTTAGTGGTTGATACACTTTAAAACAAAGTAATGGAATGTAAGAAGACTTTACTTTTTTTAATAATCTTAACCCAATTATAGTATATTCATACATATATTTTATACCCTTAACATCTAAAGTCCTAAACATGTTTAGGTAGGATCATATTTTTTTATCATTCTTTTTAGTAATAATTTATAATAAATATGTTTTTTGGGCGTACACTAAAACTTTTTTCAATAAATAGAAACCTAAATAATGTATTTTCCTCCAAATATTTGGTCATAAATTACTAAAAGTATACTATAGTAAAATAATATGGCTGAAGTTATCTATTTAATACAGCGCCATCTATCTTCAATGAATTAAAACTTTCCTTCGTCACAGTGAATATAGATGGCAGTGTCACTATTCTAAATCGCAGTACTTAATAAATGCATCATATTCATACATTCGAGTTATTAGAACGAATGAACTGTATTCTAATCGGTACAGTAACATCCATCCTGCGTGTTTTCACGTATCCAGTCTAGGTAGTTAGTGACACGAGTGTATACGCCGGGATAACCAACTCTAGCGCAGCCGTTACCCCATGAGACGACACCTGGAAATAATATTTATTTTATAAAAAAAAGTTACTCCGACGCAAGTAAGGAAACAGCGCATAAACACCTTTTGGTAAAGAGTCAATGACTTAAGAACAAAATATACACGTGTTTGCTTGTCGAAAAAAATCATAACTGTACAGAAATTAGAGTCAAGAAATCTTTTGGAGCTTATTTAACATGTCGCTTGTACAAAACTTAATTAATCAGACCCTATAAGCAAATATGGAGGATAATGAAATTAAAATTGAATTTCTTTGCCCACTTTAAATTAAGTATTTCCCATCGCAGTTAGCAAATTGCATCATGGCATTGTCTTTTCAGGTTGACCCAACGAGACCGAACATTTAGTAGGCATACATTAGAATATATCTGTATTCATTACCTATCAGCTCGTAGCGTTTGTCGTGCTTTCTCTCAGCGATTAATGGCCCACCGCTGTCACCCTGAAATATTAAAATAAAATTTAACATAAATAATTATTTGAAATATAACAGATCAGTGGGAGCTGCAGGGCAAGAGCAATAAGGCGCCGCGGCCTCGGCTTCAAGCAGGAGAAGGCCCGGGAGGGTTTTTAGTCAGTAAAAGTCTGACATTCCTTCTTGCCCCAGCCTGGATTGTAGAAGTAAGAGTAGAAGTAGAAGAGTAGAAGTAACGATTTTCCCCTAATAAAAAGATATCTTTATGTATACTTCTAGTACAAGGGAATCGTGATAGAAAAATTGTTATTGCGGTGAAGAAGACGCCTGGACCACTTAAGATTCATTTTCTTCAGAAATACTTACATAGAAATAATTAGATAGGTATATAGGAAGAATTCCAAGTAAAAAAGAAAAAAAGTTTTTATTTCAGTAACTTCGCGAAAAAATAGAAATTATGTAACTTAGAGAAGTTTCTTATTGATTAAGCAAAGTTAGTCATAGTTCAAGTGAGTGAACAATAAACATTTTTTGCTAAGCATTGAAGTAGAAAGCAGCTGTTTGAAAGTGGTCGGAAATAGAGGTACCTATTAGCAAAACAAATGAAGACATCAATTCCTATTACTAAGACATGATGTTTTTTTCTATTTTTAAAGTTGTGTATTTACTACTAAATGTGTGTGTGTGTGTGTGTGTGTGTGTGTGTGTGTGTGTGTAACAACTAATTGCTTTAGAAAAGGTATAATACCAAATAGACCCCTTTGTGAGCAATAAAAAAAATAAAAATCAATTTGTATATCTACCAAAAGCGCAGTCAAGCATACATAAAAATCAAATATTTTTTTTGGCCATTATTGATTTATATTGACAACTTAAAATTAAGACTTAAGATAATAAAAAAATCACAATATAGTTTTCTCACCTGGCAAGAGTCTTTTTGTCCTGTTTTTGGATAGCCAGCGCACAACATGTTGTCAGTGATCATAGATGAAGTGTATTTGGTATTACGACACTCCTGGTTGCTAATGACTGGTACTTCCACCTCCTGCAGTGTGCAGGACACCTTACCCTCCTCCGTAAGAGTGCCCCAACCGGATGCCACAGCTTTTACTCCGACGTACAAGTTCTCTGTTGTCAGTGATCGCATAAATGAGAAGCTTACTCGAAATAAGAAAAGGAAAAAGCTTTAATAAATGTGTCTTTTTGGTGTTATTGAAATATTGACGGACTTCATAGAATTATTTTATTAATTTACGGTCTTTATATAGTTATTTTATCATTTTTTCTTTAGAAGCAGGACCAATCCCTAAATCTCCAAAACCCAAATTCTCAAAAGGTCGGCAACCCACTCATAACTCCTCCGTTGTTGCGGATGTCCAAGGGCGGCGTCGATTGCTGACCATCAGGTAATTTACATGCTAAAATTTACCATCCTATTGCATAAAAAGAACAGTATGTTAACTGCCACTGGCAGAGTGGCAGTCTGCCATACTGCCACGTGCCACTTGGGGATCTCACAGTTACAGGGATACTATTGCTCATCGCTCACTGGCTGGTACGACGCAACCTGGTACAAAGGGAATAAAGTAAAAGAAAAAACAAACGAACTTACTATTATTAGTCGGCAAGCAGATAGGCTTGATTGTCTCGGAGATAGGAACTCTCTCGTTCAACCGAAGCAAAGCTATGTCATTGTCAAAGTTGGTGAGGGTGAACTTGTTGGCGATGGCGCGAAGCACGAATCGGGTCTCAGGGCGGCTTGTAGCGTTACAACGATTGTGCTCACCGAACGTGACTTTGATCATGAACCACATGAATCTGGAACATTGGAAAGAAATGAATCAGTTTATTACCTCTTGATGCCTCTATGGGGCAGATTGAGAATAGAGAGGGAGTGGAGGAGAATGCCTTTTAATCAGGGATTACAACCTTTATTTGATTTAACAGTAGCTTTAATAATAATACAAGAATGATGATAGCTTGAAATCAGTTAATTCTTATTGTATTTGCTGAACATATGGATCTAAATTTGTTCGATCATTAATAACCAAAGAAGTAGGTAAATACCTGTTGGCTTCTAATGGGTGGGATTCGGTTGATCTTTGTTGCATTTTAATTTAAAATGTTTTTAGAGATTAGTTGGGTCAGAGATGTTAAATATATTAATAAAAAAAAGCCATTTTGAAATTGTTGAGATGTGCATCCCAAAAAGGCCTAATTACTCGGTCCAAATCAAAAATGCGCAGTTGATCATCATTTTGTACCACGTGGGTCATTCCACTCTTATTCAGATTCCAGTTATAGATAAGTGTGACCTAGAATTTATAACATCGTATATCAAACAAGTTTCGCAGAAGTTCTAAAAAATAGATCAAGTTTAGATTGCCATCAGCTCAAAAACAAACTAATAAATCAGCCATTAACGTCAAATTTGAGCTTTTAATCCTAAAACAAGGATGACACGATGTTCAATATTTAAGAATGATTCATTACGTGCAAATTATGAATGTATCAATTACTGTGGTTTTTCAAAACTCTGTTGACCACAAATGGGGAAAGTCCAGTTTTTGCCAAAATTAAAAACAACTCTAGTCTAAAATGCAGCAACACTTTGAAAATAAATGCATGGTTAAGTACATAAGGAAGATAACATAATAGGGACTACTACTAATCTCAATGATATTAATCAATGGTTGATTAGATGGCCTAATAGATCATGTAACAACTATCGTAGAATGATAGGAGTAACAATATAAAAGAGGTCAGTAAGAGTTGATGTTTATTTAAGGCAAAAGCTGTATAATGTACCGCGACATCGGCCTAGAGCAGGAGAAAGAACGGAGAGGTTTTTAGTCAGTAAGAGTCTGACACACCCTCAATCTGAGCAAGACAAGTCATTTGATGATTTTCCCCTCATAAAAAAAGGACGACAGAAGTAATTTGATAATTTCCTCGATTCAAAGATGTAAAGGCAAAGGGTGAATAAAGCCCATTACCGCATTCCGATTTATTTCAAATTATGACTGATTAGAAAATACCAACTTTAGGTATAAAGTGTAAATAGACACACACACTTCAACGAGCCTCTCGAGACTATTTTACTTACGCAATTTGTAAGTGTATGTCAACACTATTCTACGCACTCAAAATCCTCTTTAGTCGCTCCTTAACTTTCCAATCGTTTGGAAATCTCTACTTTTTGTATAATAAAACAGTAGCTTCTATTACCGTAACGGAATTAATTCAGTCGATATCATCTATTATGTAATTGGTTGCTTATTTCCGATTGTTCTTCGCGACTACTCGAGCCAAGTTTGTGTCGACATTGAGCGAAAGTGACACTTGTGTTTTGGCGGGCCACGGTCATGAATACTATTAATGTCCCTCATTTACGCTTTCACTTACGTACATTAGTCCCCGCTACTGTCAAACAATACATTCGTGAGGTGAGACGTGTAATACGACACCTTTTGAACTCCACGGTACTACGCACTTATAGTTATCTTCTTGGAAATTTGTTCCGTACCTGAAATGAAGCTGTGAACCTAAACAAAAAGTCATCACAAAGTGCCTAAAATGGTCATTTATCGAGGATAATGAACTTTGAGTTTGGAGCCTGCTCCTGGGCCGGTTTGAAGGTGAACGTACTTATCGATACTGATTGGTATTCACAATTTTGTACCATGAATTTATTTTGGATTTGTTTGCCAATTCTTAGGTTATCGGACCCGTAGAGCGATGACGAATATCTGCGATTGATCCGATTTGGTCATAAAACCGAAAAAATGAGAACAATCAAAATTTCTGGATAATTTTATTGATCCTATATGAAAAAAAAAAAACGATAAAAAATACTACATTTGTACAATCTGCCGTGTAGGTAGGTATGTATAATGTTGTTGTATCTGGTATCTATCATTGATCGTCGTTATTTAGCTATTAACCTAGTTTTGTTCAGGTTTGTAGCCGTTTAAATAGTTATTTGTTGATTTAGGACCAAAAATGTATACGTCACTTTTCTATTAGCCTTAATTGCAGGACGCTACCGATAACATTAGAAACAATAAAATTAAATACAAAGGCGCGCTAACTAAGAAGAAATATTATTTTTCCTACGAATCTATGTAATGTGAGATAGGTGCAGGTTGTGTTCCGAGTAAATACCCTGACAAGTGCTTTATTGAACAAACACTTGACGGAGACGTGTTCACGCCTCTGTACCACGTAAAGACACGCAGCAGATAAAAAATATTTATATTTAAATAAACAGTTAGGTTCCATAAGAAAGAAGATTTATAGAGAATAGACAATATCACAGACAATCTGAATAAAAATTCCATTTAGATAGATTTCCTTTTTTAGATATGAATATTTTAATAGTATACGGTTTTATTTAGTGCCTATGTGCTAAAATCTATTGAAACGTAAATACTGTTAGATTTAAACAAAAGAATAACTTACACTAAAGTAAATAAAATAAATATTACAAAATTTGATTTCTAAATTAAATTAGCGAAGATTTCAACATTAAATAAATGCGACAGAAAAATAGGAGAAGGCAGAGCAAATATAAAGCACAAAAGTTGATGGTAATTCTAGACTTTTATCTACTACGGAAGACGATGCTGTGGGCGAACCTATACCTTATAACTTTGAAATCAAGTAAGTATTAGTCATCAATAGATTAAATACTTCAAAACAACGGTAGATAACAATAGTATTCACAAATTGCAATATATTTTAGTTAAACGCATTACGATGAAGAATGCTACCGAGCAATTCAATGTTGACGTTCCAAACTTAGCTTTTCGAGTTTTTAAAATGAATGGACTTTGACTTGAAAAACAAAACTGACTAGTTTTAGTAGCTATATGATATTTTCTCACCCTTTAACACAGTGAGCAGCAGTTAAGACGTATCTGTCATTGATGAGCATGCCGCCACAGTAGAACCGTTTGAAGTAAGACAGACGAGCCATCCAGGGAAACTCGTTGATACCAGCTTCATCACCACCCACAATACGCGAAACTTCGTTCCTTTCACCACATTCTGGAAACATTTGGATAACACGTTGTGAAAAGAAGACCTAAAAGGGAGCGAAATTGATTTCAACCGCCATGTACAATTAGGATTTCTTAGCAATAGGACGTGTACATAACCTTTAAGATACCTATCCAAAACATAATCAATTTTACGTTATTGACAATTAATTAGATGGTATCGGTACAGTAGCATACAACTTTTAAAATATTACGAAATATTTTTTTTTTAAACCGATGAATTTCTAATTCTATGATAAATTATTTTCCTTGTTTAACACAAGGCGACGATTTCAAGGAAGCCGAGGTATTTATCAAACTAAATGCGTATGATTTATTAGTAGCTTCAAGTAATCCTATTAACTACTTTTGTCAGTAATTTTATTATATGTTAATAAGTAGATAACATGACATAAGTCGAGGCTTAAGAAAATTCTTCAATTTCTCTTTAAGAAATCGTAGTGCGAAGTATCTGTATCACTTATTTATGGTCTTTTTTATGAAACTTTGGGCATAGGCAATAAAACCCATTCAAAAACAAATTAATGCAATCTTGCGATTACTCTACTAAAAAGGATGGTTTACCATCTACTATTTTGTGTAACCTTTCATCATCATATCAGGCCAAGCCCCACGGGACGTCCACTGCTGAACACACACTTACGGTCTTCTCAATTACTTCCATTAAACCTAAACCTAGTTAAAATAGACGAGTCAGCCAAGAGTTTTAATTACTTAATCAATCAAATAATCAAGTGCATACTAACTACAAGAGCACGTGGTCCTTGGTTTGTTGGTTTCCATCATCGGCGGCCGGTTGCCCCAAAGACCACCAAAGATGTTCTTTGGGTACTCTGCTCTCGCATCCTGAACCAAATCGCCCTGTAATGAACAACCAAGTTAGACAAAGAAAGATAAACAGAAGTATTTATTAAAGGCATAGAGCGCCAAACGAGCTGGCGGATCACCATGGTGATAAGCAAAACAGGGGCACCTATGGATACTTGCAACACCAAAGACCTTTTAAGAGCTAGGGATTTTGGGTATTGGGATTGGAATAGGAGGAATTGAGTCTCAGGTTCCAACTTAGCTACATCCCTAAAACACGATGCATGGGTCATTTCACACCGTGGCTATTTGAGTCCGTGGTATTACTCTGGTAAAGCCTGCCATTCGTAGCAAAGTCGAACAAGCGTCAATAACGTTGGTTATGACTTCTTCATTAATTTATTTTGAATCATTAAACGTTTGAAAAAACAAAAATATCGAAACCCAAACGGCCTAACGCGTATTTGTCTTCTTGCGTTTGCAAATCAGCCCAAATAGCTAAAAACATTTCAGAATGCCATTGAAATTCCAAACCACTTAAGAGAAAAAAAAAATTTTACATGTAGGTAACTTCAAATAAGTATTCACAATTACTATCGGTAGCCAAGCTAATAAGTAAATACTTCATTTAAGGTCCTTTTTTGACTCGAACATGTTATCGGCCACAAGATAATCATTAATGGTCTAGTTTTTTGTGTCATTTTCTTAGATATTCAGTTAACCAAATACAGTTTTAGTTTCACTTAACATCAGAAATATTTCAATTATAATCACAAAAGATTTTTAGTATTGAAACGTAACCGACCAAAAAACTCTCAGTTCCGCTGTTCCGCACCAATTTCAATAATACCGCATGAACTTTATGTTTGTTGCATTGAAAAATAAGGCATAAGATAGTCAAGAATGCCAAAAGAAAAGCTAACTTAATTTTAAGTTAGTCAGGTTTCATTTTAGATTGAGAATTGCGACACAAAATAAAGGCAAAAAAACGTTTACAATTTCGTGTTAATCATTAATGTATATGACCACCATTGTTTTTATTTTATTTCACTGAAACCATTATTAAAAACCGGTTCAATATGCGTTCTAAGATGGCATATTTAATTTACAGTTGTAAATAAACAAATCGCAACAGGTTTATCAATTATTTATATATCGGTGTCATGTCTTGAGTGCCAAAATCTTGCTCATCTGGTCAATAGACATTAATGGAAACGAAGAAAGCACGTGAATTCTAATTTTATCAATTTCGCCACGAAGTAGAATAACAGGATTTTAGCACGGAATAAATTTACCACTAATTTGGTTGTAGTATCGCAGGCAGGACATTTATGAACAAGGTACCAAGCTAATGAAAGTAAAAAAGAATACTACCAACCTCAGAGCAAGTGAAAGTCAAAGCCACAAGCACTAAAATAAATAAACACTTCCACATTGTGTTACTGGTTTAAAATAAAATAAACATAAAAAAGGAAAAAAGTAAAAAATTCTAAATTCGAATTCAGATTTTGGCGCTCGGCTGGCGCATGGTATTTGGTAGGTGAACTTGTCGCGCGCGCTCACAACGGACACACACTGAGATGCGCTCCGTCCTCACCCGTGGTCAAACATCGGACGTGTTTTGGATACGTCAATTCGTACCCCACTAGTCCAATAGTTATATTCTTATTTCACTCGTCAGGAAACAAATCGGGCGCAATGTCAGAGCGGCAAACAAAAATAATCGCAATATTTTCTGTGTGTTTTGTTTTCATTTATGTTGTATGCGAAAATGCGCAGTAAATACCCAATAATTTGAAAGTACTGATGTGGTTTTATTTTATACCTCTTGTCTCAATACGTTCTCGACTATTGGATTAAGGACTCCTACTTAATTGATTTTTACATTAATCTCATTACATCCTTCGCTTGGATACTTTAAATTCTAATTCGGTACAAGTTCCGTTTAAATCTCTTTGATTGACACTATACATAACGAACATTTTAAAACTTATATGTCATTCAAATACACTGCCGCGTCCTAATTTACATATGACAGGTATCATACAAGCAAGTAAGAACTTTTTGATAATCAAAGAGAAATTGCAGGCTTTTTTATAAGACCACTAAAGTTACGAAAAAAAAAATCATAAAGGGATCATATACATAGTCTTTATTAAAAAAAATTTATTATATTGGAAATATTAATTCAATTACTTAAATAAACCAATACTTACAATACAGATGTATTATATACAAGACAGTAATAACTAACTAGGTGAATAAATCAATCAACTAGAAAACAAGTGTGGTCTGATTGAAAATAGCGTTTAATGAACATATAATATTCTGCGCTTGGAACCGCCTAGATGGCTGACAAATTACCAATTCAGAATAGTAACGGGACCAATATTTATTACTGGAACGACTTTTTAATAAGCGATTTAGGCAAGAGAGACGTTTTAATTTGATAGGCGCCATGTTGAAAAAACCGGCGTAGGTGGCTATAAATAATAACTCGACCACGATTTAATAAAAAAGTTATAAAAATAAGACTGTCAGGTACGTTTTCTTGAATGTTTCGTATTCAATAAATAAAAAATGACCTCAATATTACATTTTCTGCAAGTTTTTTCTTTAATAATCTACGGAGTGAATTAGGTAGTAGGTACTGCCTACACCAATTTTCTTTTGTCAATTTCTTTCAATAGGTTAAGTTAGGTCAGTTCGTTCTCCAATGGCATTTTAGCATTTGCCAATTTGAATAATAATGGCTTCTGCTCCTACAGGAAGAATTTGTACCACATCATACGACCCAGATTTATTTTAAAGATTTTTCCCCAGAAATGTGTAAAGAATGCTGATTCGTCCTTAGCTCCAGCAGTAGAACATAAGTCTGATGAACATACGTATTTTTATTTGTTTTTATTGATGATAAGTATCAGCGTCACCCATGGACACGCCCACCGTCAGCATAGCAAATTTTGAAGGGTAGTCTCCTACTCTGCTTGGAAAGTAATTCATCAATCAGCTATTACTATTTTTAAATATTAAAATGAAATTGTGTACAAGTTCTAGCAGTTATCAATGATAAAGAGGTGAGCCAGGGGGTACTAGATATAGATATAGCATACGAAGTATGTAGATTTTGTTAATGTCCGGATGCGAAGACTTATTGCTACCTAGAACATGAGACTCATGGCCTAAATGACGAAGAGTGGATGTTACATTCTGATGTGTGTCCCTGGATTGCTCTCTTGAAGCAAATAAATAGTTATGTTTAACCATTTACATAAGTAATGTAACCTAAGGCCCAATCCTCATTTTCAATCTTTAGTTCCCAATTTTCAATCCCTAGTCCCCAATTCTCAATTTTGTAACCCTAATAGGCAGATAACGCTCTTGGAACTTTTTTGTGTTTCACGGGTGGCACCGATTGTTTACCCTCAGACGATCAGCAAGCTTGATTTCCACCCTATAAAAAAACTATCAGAAAAAAATTTGCTAGTATAAATACAATAATAAACTACACCATAGAGGTTTTAGTACGGGTTGCGGGGTAAGCGTAATGAGGCACCGAGAGAGCAGGGACATTTTAAGTAAGAGTAAGAGTCCTCTCCCACCTGGACCAGATCCTGGGCGAGAGAAGTCGTCTGATGATATTTCCCTCACAAAAAATAGAAGTTGTAGTGAGAGATAAAAAGTTGGAGTGCGGATTTGTTTCGGCGGCAACCGGTCGGTCGGTGGCGGCGAAAGTGTCACTTTCCAACCGTGCCGTCACAATGGCTCGCCGGGTTTTTGCACATTCACTAGCACTTTGTACATCTAACGAGCTTTAATTATGTCAATGAACAAATTATTATTCTAGCTGCAAAAATAGATATAGACTATAGAACTAAGAGAAGAGACGAAATATTCGTAAGACATTATCTAACCTAATATTAAGTGTAGGTACATTAACATATACACGTACCTACGTTTTATGTACCTACACTGTACTGTACAATCGTAGAAATGAATATAAGTACAACTAGTACTGCAAGGTAAATTAAGTTAGAAGATAAAATATATGTATGTATGTAATAAAATACATTACTATGCTTGCACTCGGAATACATCTGGGGTTGAGGGTCAAGCGCAACAATATGCAGTAGCCCTGGCCTGGAGCAGAAAGAACATGGAGGTTTTTAGTCAGTAATAGTCTAACACTCCCTCTCGTCTCACCCAGATCGAGAAAAGCCATTTGATGATGTTCCACAAAAATAAACCAACAAAACATGACAATTGGGTAGTTTCCTAAGTCAATAATAAATTAATTCAACGTTTCAATACAATACAATATTGAAAAATCCTTTTATTCATCGATCGATCGATACACTAAGGTTTCGATATTTTGTAGCTAATTATTAAGAAATAAGTAAGCTATTTGACGCAAAAATACTATGACGTCATACCTCAGTTCTTCATACAAATTTCATAGAAAAGTATCGTTTTTGACATTCGGATAAAAGTATTGAATTTGACTAGTTGGAAACTACCGTATTGCATGACATTCTAACTACTAATTTGTTTCACGGTGCTAACAACCTTAAGGGTAAAACCCAAATTGTATTTATACTCTGTGAAATTACACATCGTAATTATTATTCTTTATAAAATACCTACATAAATCCCAAAATAAGTAATAAGTATGTCTTCAAACCCTCAAGACCTTTAACAATTCGATCCAATCACATAAATATCACGACTTTGTAATAAAATCTTGGACCTTAAACCTTAAACTCAAAGGGATATAAATAAAGTCATAAAATATCCTTTTTCAAACTGTTTAATGTATAAGAGCACCTCTAAGTATAACAATTAACGAATTCAAAATAAAATATTTGAATATAAAAAAAACAATCACACGAACAAAGTTAATAAAATTAGTAGAGATTATGAAATAATTTGTAAATAAATTAATATAAAAATTATCTTAAAATAGAGATTTATTAAATAAATCTAGATTAATAAATAAGTACGGGTAATATTATGATAACAATTTTATCGTGATAGGGATCACAGTTGTAGCCTAAAGAGCATTGATTCTTAAGAACTAACGATAATTCTAAGACAACATTGTATTTCATCTTACACCGCAATGACATGGAATCTGTTTTCAACAAAGTTATGAAATAAAACTTAATAACTATAGATTACCTAGAGCGAGTTAATTTGGCATTAACGCCATCGAAACGTTACTTCATGGAGCCCTCTGATTGGTTGGTTAACTTGGAATTGGCCAATCAGAACGCCGAACGTCATAAACGTGTCGACCGCATTAACGTATAGGAAACTCGCCAAGGTTATTTTACAAACGGTCAAATTTTTTTTTTTTTTAATAAAGACATGTAGAAAATTAATTTGTTTTAGTTTTCTGTCTAACAAAAGAAGGAATCCTTTCAAACAATTTGTTCACAAAATCATTTAGGTACCTTTGCTTTGATAATTGGCACCACGCCAAAAGCGAATGTAGAAGAAATACTGTCGATACATACCTACTTACGTATTTTTATAAGGAAAATACATTCATCTCCATCAATTTGATCCTTTCACTGCGCGTTCGGATTTACATCACGGAGTCACGATTCGACCGTCATTTAAACGATGCAATATAAAAAAACACATGCGAAAGTTTCCAGCTAAATTGATAAGTACAAAACGAGAAAAAATGATAAAAAAAGCTTTTACGATGCTAATCCGAATACTTAGTAAGTTAGTAAGCGTTGCTCAATTAAAAATGATGAAATCATATTGTTGGAAATATATATTGCTTGCATATAAATTATTTTAAGCACATGTTAAGATCGAATGCTGTTTGAGTATTTAGATTTTTACCAAAATCTAGAGAAAAGTATCTTATACTTTAACATGTGGTGATATGTACAAAAGATATGACGCAACTGTACTTGTGAAACATTTTTCTACTAGATTTTGCTAGAAATCGAGTTTGGCTAAATTTCGTGTTAATTTTCTTACTACATGTATACAAAAAAGTCGTTGTGATTCGAATCCTTTACATTCTGTTTAATACATGCAGGTAAAAAGCAGCAGTAAAAGTACTTAATACTAGAAAAAAATTACGAATAAATTAATATTATGTACAAATAGCGTAATGAACACTTAATAGGCATCAAGTTAAACATCTTAAATTCTAATGGTAATCTGCACCACCGGCCTGTCCGAAGTATTTTAACTTATAATTAGCTAAACAAGTTCATAAAGTACGAATACTAAGTACGAATAATACGTTTATAAAAATAAAACTTAATTGTCATGACTTGGTCACTTTAGAGTTACGTCGATATTTCAAAATAATCACGTGTAACGCGAGGCTCTGAAATATCTTTCTACCTAATATTAGTAGGTATTTTAAACAAGTAAGAAATATTTACTTAGGTATTATACTCTTTAGTGTAGAAAAAGACATTATAATATACGTATTATAAAATCGAGAAAAGCAATTTAAAAAATAAACTTTTTTTCTTTAACCAGCATAAAAAAAAATATTTGTTATTTAATAAAATAGGTGCCAAAAACACTGGTAGCTTTGACTGGCCATATATATTTCAACTATTTAAATTGTTATCGACAAATCAGGAAATTGTTTAGACAAAA